CACACACACACACACACACACACACACACACAGTTAGTGATCCATGGCCTTGGATGTATTACGCAAACAAACCCATAATTAATTTGTGTTTTTGTCACTTAGGAGGGCATTTCATTTATTCCTGGAGATTTATTCTCTAATAAGAAGAATTAGGCATTCTGGGAAAACACATATTTGATTTCCTGCAGGTAAACATTAAGAAGATCAATACTACTCTCATGTCTGTCAGGTGTAGCATATCCAGCTGTTACTATAAATTAGCTGAGGTAATACAGAATGGAAAGAGGGATACACACGGAGGAGTGTTAGGGCCGGCCATAAAAAATACATCAGCTAGAGGCCAGCGCAGGGCCGAGAGTTTCAGAAGACAACAAATATGATGACTGTGGAGGATGTTGTGATAATGATACACTTAAGAAAGTGCCTTATGTCTTATGGTCGTCTGGCTTGAACTATTGGCTACACTGCCCCCCCATGATTCCCTGTGGTACTGCTCTGTTCTAACTGTTTCGTCCGTATCCATTAGTGTCCAGAAGACGTGCACAAATACGGACAAAATGAATGCAGAGTACAGAGAGAAAGCACTGTCCTTTATGTACATGCACATATTTAACGCAGAGCTCAAAAAAGCTTCTAGAGTCTTACACTCACTATTTGCTTGTTTAACTTCACATCCTTCAAAACCTGCATCTGTCTCCGTGCTCTGTTCTGCTCTCAAAGACCAAACATCTGACTAAATGTGGCTCCGATCCCCCATAATGACCCTGTGTTTGAACTTTTAACCCTGAACTCAGGAACTGTAGCATGTGCATGAAGGACAGGGAGCGACACGGAGGGGAGGATGATTATCGCGCTGCTTTGACATGTTGGTGGGAGGAATAAAGCGGGAGGCATTGGTGGAAGGAGAGAGGGACAGACTGATTGTCAAGGGGTGTAGACACCCCTAACTGTAATCAACATCTTTATCCATCATCACTATCTGCCGCCAAACACTCAAACTGCCTATCACATCTGCTCGTCCACCCACAGAAATGTACAAAGCCTCTCATAACCATTAAGACAAAAGGAAGCGGCGGGGACTTGTTAATTGTGTAGACGGGAATAGAGGGGATTTCAGACATCAACTTTAAGTCGGCACTGTGTGTTTTGCTTTACCAGATATTTTAGAAACTATCAGTCTGCACAATGAGACCTTGTCTGCACTACTATTCATTCACCACAATTTAGGATAAATTTCCATCAACATGACCTTCGTTTTACAAAATATCTCCGTCCAGACACAAAAGCCGACTATACTCAAGCATGCCGGGCTGTGTGGAGATAAAGTCCACATCAGTGATCTGTCAAATATAAGAACTCTGTGGTGGAGGTGATATTGTGTACGGCCGTCATTGTTGTGGTTTCTGGCAAATGCTCATTCCACAGAATGGGTGGGTGTACGCAAAGTACGCTGTGACAACTTCATTTCTCAAATGCTTTTGAAAATCGACACTTTTGAAGGTGCAAAAATCTCAGTTGTAGTAACTAAAAATTCGGTTTACATGTAAACGTTAGGCTCAATGGCATAGGGAAAAATTTCGCAAAAAATCCGCGTGTGGACAGGGCGTTCAACTCACAGAAGTCTGACCATGTCTGTGTAATCCGACAATGAGCAGTCATCACTCACGGCTGCATCCTCTTCCTTCTGAGACCCGCTGATAAACACACAAATGCTTCATCACGTTCCTCTTTCCCTCCTTCCAGTGTGTCATATACACTGAGCTGCACAGCTGAACCTCCCCTGACTTTCACTCACGGATGGCCTCCTTCACTTTTTGGATCCGCCTGCTCTCTCAGACCTGTTTACACATGTTCCATCACGCATGCCACATGAATGCATACAGACACAGAGAAGGTATATGCACCTGTTTGTGCTTGCACAGACATGCACACATCAGGCTCATGCATCTCACGCAGCAAATTATACAGTCCCCTAAAGCCTTGTATGTATTCCCCAGGCATATATGCATGTCACTGCACAGTATATACACTGACAGTAAAAACAGAATACACGTACAAAGATGCACGGGGTGAAGGTAAATTCCAGTTAATCAGTTTGAATTGCGTTTTATCCTGACTTAAGTATTCAGGTATACATCTGCTTCGCAAGCACTGAGGCCACTTATATTTCTGCTTCTGCTCCCCCAGCAGCAGGTGTCTATAGAGTCATGTCTGTCTGTCCAGCACTTTGGTTCAGAGAGGCTGCAGGAATGCTGAATAGACCGGTGGCTCTCTAACTGTATTTTCATTATTCCCAAAGGCATCAGAAAGAAAGAAATATTCATAACCCCTGACTCAATTTTTAGTTTTTTTCATTTATAAGTCAAGTTATATTTTTATTGACTTTATTCATTACTTGCCTTATTGAAATGATCTTCTTGAATTATATTTAAATGTTTTATCGTCTTACCTCCATGTATTTCATTTTGTTTCTTTTGGAAAGTCCCTGTGATCTATGCTTGGCAAGTAGACAAAATGTTTCATTAATAATTCTGAATTCTGATTTATATTCATCATTAGTGCCTGAGAACCAGCAACACCAATAGCCAAAATGTCCTAGGCTGAACTTTACTTAAATTTTATTGTTAAAAGTTAAAGTCAGGTGTGTTGAGATAACTCCCACCTATACTCTCATCTCTTTATCACACAGTCCCACTACTTGTAATTTTATTCTTTAATGAGGCTTATTTCACCTCCTGGGATCTACTCCTATAACAGCTTCCTTAAATATAGAATAAAAAAAACCCTGAAAAGTGGGGGAAATCTACTCACACCTTAAGAATAAACACTTGGTGTACTGTTCTGTAAGGTTTATAGAAAGATCCCTTTCTGAGAATAAAAGCAAAGAGTATAGAGCATTGTTGGAAAAAAAAAAAACTTGGCTGATGCCGATTTTTTGGATTTAATACAAATAGTTGACAGGGATGAGTACTATGACAGTTTAACACGTGAACAATGGAGCCTCACTGAATTAGCTCATGTCTTGAGTCAATTAAGCAAGAGATTATGTTGTGAAGACATTTCGCCCATTTGTCATCTGCATCAGCTGCTTATATCTGGCTCTGCCCTCCGGTGCTGCATCGACGGAGCATTCAGAGACGTATACAAACACAGAGAATCAAATGTTGTTGTTTTTGTTATGACTAAATGTCTACTGTACACACAAGACGTTCTTTAATGTAAAAACAGAGTGCCATGAAATTGGATTTACTCATGAACCCAGAACCTTTCCTCTGGCGGCTTTAAGGAGAGGCGTAACATTTTTAGCCTAACAATAAATGGAAAATTTCATTGGCATGTTCAATCCATGGAGCTGCTTCATATTGGATGCACTGAGCACTGCAGCCTCTGTGGGTTCAAAAATGACTCCAGACCCTATTGGGTGTCGGGCTTGTATGTAGTTAATTTACAGTAAGAAGTGAATGAGTGGTTTTATTATTGCTTCTGATTGACTGGGCGTAATCTAGAGGCACATTTGCACAGCTGTGTAGTATTAATAACCTATAATGAAGCTTTAATTAAATAAATGAATATTCAAATTATCAAACGGAAGAATACAAACATCTCATCTCATCTCATTCATTTTCATTTATAACCTGATTGTACCCTCGTAAATATAAATTTCTCTAAATCTCTACATTGTATTGAGTATTGATCTGGTTGTTATAAGGGTTCAGAAAACATAAGCTAATTATAAGGTTTATTTAGGTTTACCTCTTAATTACCGTGTACTGGACATTCCTCTCAAATCCTAATGTGCGTCCATAAATCAAGATGCGCGCATGCACACACACACACACACACACGTACACACCTGGTGCGTCACCATCACAGGCACAGTCAGTGGAACAGGGCTGAGTCGACGCAATGGCACAAAGTGTCGGGGGAGCAGGTGTTTATGCCTCTGTGAGAAATAAGAGAGCGTGAGATGTGGGCAGAGAAACACCGACCCCCTCTCATCCTGCAGCTATCCACGGTCCACCTTCTTTTTTTCCTCCCACAGACATATTTGATCTTTACTCATTCCTCTTCTTTGCTGTCTGGCTTTACTCCTTCCACCCATCATCCTTTATCTCGTTCTGTACTTTTCCCTCAGATTCATCCTCCGTCTGCGTCACAGTTGCTTCTCTTTTTCTGCCTCTAAATTGCTCAATATCCTTCCCAGAACACTTTAACCTTCCAGTACCTGATGGTATCTGACATCACAAGCAACATTCAGATGCACACATGCATATGTGCAATCCTTGTATCATTGTGTAGACATAGATAATTACAAGGTGGGAAGATAGTTCATGTTTTTTAATTTTTTTTATTTACAACACACTGCAGTTACTGCTCTGTCCATGACAGACCTGCTCTCCACATGGTTTACAATCTTGCATTTTGTGAAGATCACAAAGCTCCTGCCTTCATCGGAGCGTCAGAGGAGCCAGCAGGCAGCTCTAAATAATGGGGAAGTCTGACCCATTACGAAACACAAATTCTTTCACGGTGCATAACATCAAAATGTCACTTTTTAAAAATGTTCTATTTAATCCACATGGCACACAATGCCTTCACGTCAAGATGTATGACAATCAAAATGATGTGACTCCTGGCAGGGACCAGTTCGATCCTTCAAGCACAATTCAAGTGGATGGCCTTGAATTTTGATTTCTGCATGCACAGGTGAATAACTGATGGTGACGATAATGGTGGTGGGGCGGTATAACATCAGTTAATCCACACAGTGCGTTGGCAACCTGCCTCAGGACGAGGTGGACTGCAGGTTCGAGATCAATCCATCAGCCTTAAAGCTCCTTTGTGGTTTCCAAACTCTCATTGATTGGAAAGTCTTAAAATAAGGAACTGTGCCAAATACTGTACAAGACAAATCCACGAGAAACACTTTGTGCTATCAATAAGACATTATGCATGTAAAAAGACTTATTTAAAGAGTAATACTGTTCCAGCCCTGTTGAGAAAGAAAAGTTTGAGTCTTTGTTTGAGTCAGAAAATTATAAATCCTCTTTTGTTTACATTTATTGCGTGACACAGTGTCAGTTCATTTCCATTTTTCATCTCGCTGCCTCTGAATAACTCCTGTGAGTTTGCTCTCCTGGACAATGAGCAGTCCGTGGTCATGGATTAAAAAATGTACAGGGCCAGAGTTGTAGCACGAGTCCTCAGCCTCATTTCCATTTAAATCTCCTTTAGTGCCTCCTTCCTCAGCAGCTGAGGATCTTGATGAAGGCCCGTCTGAACTCGATGTTAAAGGTGGTGTAGATAATGGGGTTGAGGGCACTGTTGACGTACCCCAGCCAAGTGAAAGCACTGTAAAGTGCAGGAGGCACGTAGCATGTCCTGCAGTGGGTATTCAGGATGTGAGTCACAAAGAAAGGCAGCCAGCAGATGAGGAACACGCCTGGTGTGGAGAAAAGGATGAGAGGGAATTGAGGGTGCAGACGGTGAAGAGCCAGAGAAAACGTTAATGTGAAATGTGAGGGAGAATGTTTGTAGAATAAATTTAAAGGAGAGCAAACGTTTAGAAATGTGAAGAAGATGGAGATCAGAAGAGGAGAAAAAAAGAGGGAGAAAAAAAGAAAATTCACAATAATCACAATCACATTTACATTCATTTCTCTTCATGGTTGAAACAATATATGTGGGACAGTTTTAACCAAATTATTATGTGAGATTTTGAAGAATCTACTTAGTTTGTATGCAATCAAAGAGCTCCGTAAAAAAAGAGAGGGAAATCGGTCCTATTTGGAAACTGAGTCACGTTTGAAAGAAAAGCTCAAGAGGAATAACAACAGGTTTAGCAAAGGTCCAGTTATTTTTAAGTATCCTGCACTGTGGTAGTAAGCACATTTATTAATCCCAGCAGCAGCCAACTATTATGAATCAACTATATAAATATATCAATCCTGCAACTTCTGAATTCATAGAGTTTAATTTGGATCCCATCATCAGGAAAACAATTATTGTCTGGATGAAAATCAGATGGGGAGTGGGCTGGATCAAGATCATTGTGTGCGTGCGTGTGTGTGCAGCATTGTCATCACTGACACCAGTGTAATGTCATCAGGCACCTCTGATTACGTTTTTTTGTCAGCAGGATCTTTGCCGTGCCAGAGTTAACTGGACCAGGCTCATAGCAACCTGGCTGATAATTGGAGCATGTGGAAGCTGTGTCAGGAGCTCCAGAGTGTGTGTGGACCATAGACTGTATATGTGGACACATGCTGTGACAGGATTTTTGGACATTTCATCTTGCATTTTTTTTCTGCAGCTAATGCAGCTAATGCACATGAAGTAAGCCAATGGACTGGTAAACCAACACAGTCAGAGGAGAGCAGGGCAGGTGAGTGAGTACAGGTGGTATAAAAATCAATTGATTTGTGTTCCCATAGTTACAATTTCCTCTTCTCTCTCAACACAGACTCTACTCACCAAGCACAATGGCCAGCATTTGCGTGGCCTTTTTCTCCCGCGCGTGCATGCTCCTGAATCGTGGATTGTTGCTGTGTGAGTGAGGCAGCGTCCGCAGTGCCGTGTGTGTTCGCCCGTTGGAGAGATCCTTCACCTCGCAGCTCATCCGGACAGAGGCCTGTTCGTCCCGGTGGTTGTCCCCCACCTCCTGCTCCCTCCGATCCTGCTCCAGATCCAGCTCTGTGCGGCCGCAGGAGGCGTGGCTTATGCTGCAGTAGTTCTGCATATCCACCGGGGGCAGCACTGAGTTCTCCACCGGTCCTGTCTTCGGGTGGTTGCGCCACAGACATCGCGAGAGCAGGTTGGGCTTGGAGGGAGCCAAAGGCTCTACAGTCTGCTGTCGGAACACATGGTACATTAGTTAGACATTAGTTTTAACGTAATAAAAGTTATTTCATTAGCTGCACTAATCTATATCTATGTATGTATTGTATCAATCAATGACATGACTTTCAGCACAATGTTTTGGTTGTCTGTGCTGCAGCTTTAATGTTTGGTTCACTCTCAGTGTTTTCTCATCAAACACTTCAGGCACCTTGATAAACTTGTTGTGATCTGCCCTGCACCAAATGACCAAGTGACCAGCTGAAAGGTTATATTGACATATTGGAGCAATTAGCTGCTAAAGAGTTTAAGAATGTCTCCCGAAGTTGGTCAGGAAAGTAATTATCACAGCTTCATGGTGATCACAGAATTTCTAAATGACCTCTCGTAGACTTCTTCTACAGTGGAATCTATTCAGTGGCTACCTTTATTTTATTCTGCTTTTACTTTATGTGGAATGTTTTGGAAGCAGATTGGTACTTCCACCAGCTGGGAAGTTAGTATTCAACACACATCCAATAATGTTTCCATAGTATTGTGTATTACCCTTTAATGCAATTTTTCATTTTCTGTTGCCTTTTCATTGATCTCTTGCACCAGCAGATACTTTCTTAACTTTTTTAAATTCAGCAGCTACAGCTCCTATGAGCCATTTTTCTTTAGTGAAGTAAAAACAATCATTTCGATTACATCCACAAACTTTCTGTCTCACATCCTTATCTCATCACGCGCTTTCCTCCAGGGGGGAAATTACATTATTATTCTCTCGGCCTTTGAGGAGTCTGGGGATTATGCAGGTGCAGAACTGTGCATCAGACCTTGCTCAGCTGATGAGTGACCAGGTGAGGCAAGGCAACAAGCCATGCTTCAGAATCACAGGTTTTGGCTTCCTCTCAGGCCCCTGGGCTGCGACCACACAGCGGAACAAGGAATTCAAGTGTGCATGAGCATACACACAGGCAGACCCACATGAAAAGCTAAAAACAGAACCGCTTTGCCTCCCACCATGTCACAATACGCCAACACAGTCAGCATGAGAGTTAGGGAGGAATTAGGCTACAGTGCATTCAGCAAAACTAGAGCGCTGAAAAATCTATCCATGAATCTCTCAGTTGAGTTGAAGCTCTAATTTAAAATTATACCTACCACTTTAATCCTTATAGGTGACAGGTCTTGCTTCGCCTTGGGAGTGTCTTCTTGTAGACAGGTCTCCTGGGGGATCAGATGGCAGTTCAAGATAGGAAATATATTCCAGAGAAAGCCTCAACCCCCCCTATCCTCACACTCCTACCCCATCAGTCTACAGTTGGCAATCTTTGTACCATTTACTTGGAGCCTCATTGTTTCATCTCCATTCATCTCAGAGGATGGATAAAACAAATCTGTCAAAGTGTCCCTGACAAAGACAAAATACATCAAGGGAATTAGAATTAATGTCTGACATGTTTCCATTTGCTCTCACTGTTGAGCCACTGTCGTCCAAATTAAAAAATACACAACTACTCCTTCTTTGTATCAAATGTTCTTTCAGTCGACTGAGATAGAGTCATACTGTTATTTCAAAACACGTAGAGCTCTCTCAGCCAGAAGAGATCCAGGACCTGGATCTTACGATGGATGTCTCGACTCATGGATGAGATCCCACAACCATTTATCTGTAACCTGCTGTTAAAACAGAGCACTTGACTGCATCAGTGTGCAACAAGGGGGAAAATTAGGTGGAAAGAATTCAACTACATTATGCCAGAAACTGGAAAAGCATGAGTTGGTCAAGTTAATTATCTCATTGCATCTGTTTTTACACCATATTTTAAGAATATGGTAGATACAGCTGACTGGATGTATCCGTGTCTGAGCTTATTAAGATAGAGCCATCATTGATTAATGGATGTTAGTGGGACAAACATTAGAGTGGTGGATAGTAGTAAATGGTAGAACATTGCTTTTCTAAGGACTATCTAAAAAGCATTACTTTTCTTTGACTTTCTTTTTATCTTGTGAAGAATACACTTTCTTTAACCATGCTACCATCACTTAACCTAAGCTGTACTTTCTGTTTGGTGCTCAGGTGAACGTTAGGATGCCATGATGCTAACCCCAACCCCGACTGCAAACATAATCATATATTAATTTATATATATTATATTATATTATATATTAACTTGATATTGCAGCTGTATTCTCCATCTTAATATACAGTCATTCATTACTGGGGCTAAAAATTGGCCTGTTAGCGTTGTCCCTGTGGGCATGTTTGAATCCTGAGGATGGATGGTTGGAATGGAAGGATGCTTCATTGATCCCTAGAGAAATTTAGGGGATCACGCATGGTACCTCTGTTCTGCTTGGCTGTTGACTTATTATATATAAAGCTGCTAAATTAAGATGGGTACATGGAATTACCCACATTGAAGACAAACACTCACAGTCTGTAAGCATTGCCATTGTAAGGATGTTAGCAGGGTGACATTAGCATTATATCACCTTTCTTTCCTCTTGTATTTTCCCCCTCAACAACCGATATTGTATAAATTAGACTAATAAGACTGAGGACGTCACAGAACACACTCCTGATGATTTGGATTATTTTTAACTTGACAGGTCAGTTTAATTAGTAACATCTTCAGTTTTATACACTGACAGTCCTGTCAGCTATATACCGAGCTGCATATTTACATTGCACATTTGGCCTCTGTTCGTCTGAACGGCTGATTGCTCTCAGCCTACATTTATAGAATAGTCTCATTCACAATCGCACTTCTTCTCCCTCCTGTTCCAGCAAACTCATTTTCCTGAGATTCTTTTGAGATCTCCTCCAATACAAAGAGACTTATTATCCACTTACTGAAATTCAGTGTTTTGGTGAGGCCCTTTTTACCCAGTGTCTTTGACAGAAGTGTTCTCATCCCTGCTACGTGTCACATTTTGTTCTCTGATGGTAACTCAGGCTCTGGAGCAGGTGATAGTGTACGCACATTGTGAATGTGTCCAACAAAAAAGGTCTAATATAAAGATGAGCAGTAATTTGTCAGTAATTACCAGTCTGCATAATATAGGTGAATGTGAATGAGGTAGAGAGACTATCTATAGAGCAAATATAAGTTTCTATCAAGAGAAAACCTTGCATATCAGAAGACTAAGCTAATTAGGAGCTAAAAAACATGGTAATTTTGAGCTTGATCACCTTCAATTTTTAATAATCAGGTCTCATAATAGGGCTTGTAACGGTGGATAATGGTATATTTCTCAATACCACTCTGAATGTTTTCTGTGATTTCTAAATTGTTTCAATTTAAAAGATATCAAATTTCAATAAAGAGTTCGTTTTCGTACATAAATAACAGCATCTGTAAAATTACTGCTTAAACCGATAGAGCCCATTACTCTCAGAGGTCAAACTGTGTAAGAGACTAAAGAGATTCTAGTAATAACTTGCAAATTATTTATTGACAGTTAAAGAGTTTTAGTAGAAACATGTAAATATTTATGGGTTATTAGAAAGTCTTATCATAAATAAGAAATAGAGGGAAAGAGAATTAATACAATCTTCTCTCACCGCAGATGGTGGGGTCGAGCCCGGCTGGATTTTTCCGCTGGCTTGGCCGAACGTGATCCTCTTACGCCTCCTCCTGAGGAAGACGTAGATGCGGATGTAGACCAGCAGAGTGACGATAAAAGGAAGGTAGAAGGAGACCACTGAGGAGTAGATTACAAATTCGGGGTTGGAGATGGAGCACACCATGGGGTCATCTGAAATAAAAGAAAAAAAACAAACATTACGCCAAATAACCTCCAAATTACAGTTTAATAAAAGAGATCCACAGACAACCTCTGATCCAGAAGCATGTTCTCCATCCTAAAAATGAACTTGGTGACTTGTCCTCTTTCAAATTCTGTGTATGTACACATCAATACCGTGCTGCACTCTCACAGCCATGAATGTGAGATGGAGGTTTGATTGATTTGACAATAATTGGACCATAAATTCAGGATAAGGGACTATTTGACATAATAATTATAGACTGTAGAACAATTTTTCAATCACAATTGAGGAATTAAGTATCTATTAGAGGTGTGCTAATAGCGCTGTAAATTGAAGCGAGACAGGCTCTGAATGCAGCTAGGAAATATATGGAGCATGTCAGTGGCATGAACAAACTTAAAAGTGATTTGCCTCCGCCTGGATGTTCCCCTGAGTCAACACCACACACATCACATACCACAATACACACAGAGAAGGTATCTGGGACAGACAGAAACAGTTCTTACGCACTTTATAAACCACCTTCACTTGTTAGATTTCTACTATTAATGTATTTTGTTGAGTTTAAATACGTTTGTATTTTCATGTTGTTCTTTTTCTACTCATTTCGTTTACAGGATGTTAAAGAATCCTGACCCTATGCGACTTAATGTGAATCCAGTGACCCCTCCTCCTGCTGCTGCTGAAACGTGGATGCATACTGACAAAACAGTGGGATTCCTCTCATCACCAGCCTTTGTTTTGCAGTGGTTATAAATAGACTGAACCAAATGCCAGTATCTCTGAATCCCTTTACATTGTACCTGACTAATGCTCTTAATTGTCTGCAAGCAGTCATGCATCTGTGCTGCTGGCTGTTGAAATGAAAATAGCTACTGTTGATATTTCTCTCTGTCCATTATTTTTGTTTAGTTGTGGATTATCCCTGTTCCTGCATCACAATGAACAGATACAAAGGCAAATTTTCTGTTTTGCAGAACAGGAATGAAAGCCCCCCTCAGATGACGCATTCTCTCCATCTACAGTGACTTCATTTGATTAGATGTCGATACATGAAAGATTAAAACATTAATGTAAAAGTGAAATGTTTTCTTTCCACTTTTACAAACAATATTTCCAAATTTCTATTTCTACTGCGCCACAAACTGAGATGGAGGTCCTCAAAGTAATGTTTATGTACTAAAAGCGAGATTGACAAAAACTGAAATTGCAGGAGCAGAGGCCAAAATATCCAAACTTTTAGTGTCAGAATTCATCAAACTTTGAGAACACTGAAGTGTAAATTTCCTGTATTACAACTCTCATCGTAGCCGTGTCCTACTTCAGCGGCTGCTTCCTTCTGAGGCTGTATTTGAAGACTGCTGTGTAAATAGGCTGTTTTGAAAGCTCCTCCGAATGCAGCCGACAAAAGCTTCCTTTTCTTCCCTGAGCTACGACAGTTCCAATGGGTGGATCCTTCTCTGGCCAACCTATCCCAGGATTCATTGCAACATCTGATGTTTACGCTTTAAAATCAAAGTACAGGGCCTCAACTCAACCAAAAATCTGATACATGTTAAAAAACCAGGGGGGCATTATAACTTTCTCGTCTTGTCCAACTACAGCTCTGTTGCTAGGCAACAGCGGTAAGGAAGGGTCATGGTGTTGACGCAGAACACGAAACCCCCCCGTAGACCAGGCTGTCTCATTTTGGTTCAGCCTTCATGTGCTGTGTAGACCCTGACGTTAATATTTCAACTTTGAAGTTTTATGCATTCTTTGCACATGGTTCAAAGTGTCGTTTTGTTATGTTACTTATTTTCAATGATTTGATACCAAGTGAACCAACATGCAAACAACTTGTATGTAGCTTTCTGGATTAGCTGAATTGAAATTTTTTCACTTTGCTAGAATGTCTCTGGACAGGGAGACTAAGACCCGTTTCTGAGCTGACCTGTGGTGTTGAAGCCAAACAGCAGGGGACAGGAGACAGCGAAGGCCAGGACCCACACTGTGGAAATCATCACGAAAACTCTCTTCTTGGAGCGATGGGTGGTGTTGTACAGGACGGGCATCACCACAGCTGTGTACCTACACACACACACACACACATACTCCAATTAGTGTCAGTCCAGTTGTGACAATGTGCACAGGAGATCAGATGTGACATTTGAATGAGGAGAAAAGTGCTGATGTGATACTGTAGAGTACAGTAAAAAGGAATAATTAGAGGGGGGAAGAGAGCGTCCCTGAAAGGAAATGAGCTTACCAACAAATACACTGCTGTGAGACAGTGAAAAATCTAAAGACCAACAATGGAGGAGCAAACCCGGCATTTCTATTTCAAAACAATTTGGTTATTCAGCAATAAAATGAGTGGAGCTTTGATTTAACAGTTAATCAGCACACTACACTAAAAGTGTATAATGAGCTTGTGAAAAAAAATATGGTTCAGCTTTGGCTCAGAAGTTGCAGCAATTATACTGGACCCCGACCCAAAATGGATGTGATGTTATGTTGTTTAGAGCCAGATAACTGCCATGACTGTTTATCCTCATCAGACTAATTACTCTGGTTCTTCTCAGGGCGAAACCCAGAGCCACAAAGACGTTGACTAAAAATACTCTTGCCTGCGTTGCTCAGTCTTCACCCTCCTGCCATACTGCTGTCTGGTTAAATAAACATGGAGGGGTGAGAAAGAATGTGTTGCGCATGGTTTATTGATCAAGCATTGTTTCGAGTCGTCTTGGTGATGAAAACAAGGTTCCTCAGCTTCGTACTACGCTAGAACGTCCTCTCTGATGTTTTTACACTGCCTTTCATTTGACTCTTCCTTTAAACAGTGCGACAAATCTTTCCTGCAACGTGTGCTGTGAACTTATCAATAAAAAATGCAGAGACAAAGGTAAGCAGGTGTTGCACACTATCAAAGACACAGAATGCCCCTGGTGCTTCACATTCATTAAGCACCACACATAGCCAGTGATACTGTAGCCGTGTTGTTGATTTGTCTAATAATTAATCTCAGAGAACCACAGGGGCTCCGCATAACTTCATCCCTCAGAAGCAAATTATGGGCTGTACACAAAATCACTCCAGGACAAACATATGAGCCAGGAGGTGCGTTAACAAATGCAATTCATGGTTCGACTGATTATGCTGAAAGTGTTCAGTGAAGATAATCAGTCCCCACACAGACATGTTACATATTGTTCCTGCAAGGTCATATATTGAGCGGCTAAGTGAAATAACTGTTGTATCAGAAATTATCCCCTGTAGGAGTTTAAAAACTTCTAAACGAGAGGAAGTTTGTAGTTCTTCTTTTTACAGACATGGCTTAATTCACCTGTGGGGGGTTAAAAACAGCATTTTGTATATAATAAGACACATCCTATGAAGGAACGCTACCTTCTCTTATTCACATTCATAGTTTTAATTTGGGTTATTGTTTAAAAAACGATTCACCTGCTCTAATGTTCATAATACACATCACTTTCCTCACACTGTCCATCACTGTAGCTCCTGTCTCTTTAATGCCCCCATCCCGATAAAGTCCAATCTTCTCTGATTGGCCAACCACGTCCAGCGTGTGGAGTAAATGACTCCGCTCTCGCTTCACCTGGCTTTGTTAGGGGGCATGTCAGACTAGCTGCTATAGGTGGGGAATCATGACGCACAATGATTCCCCTGAAGTATCGGCTGGTGTACTGATGAGGTGTTTCAGGAGCTTCAGGATCAGTGCTCCCTTCACAGTGGACCTTTACCTTTTTAACTTTTAACCTCACTAAAAAACTTTAATATATATACACAAGAGGAAGGAAAAACTGAAAAAGCATCATATGTCTCCTTTTAGACCCAGAATCTGGCCAGTGCTCATGCTCTTGTTATGGCTACAAGTTCAATTTGTTAGTGGTCATTTGATTTAGCACAGTTCTATTGTGGAATAAATACAACGTGAGCACAATATAAAACTGTTATAATTAGGTTTTAGAACTGACGTTGACACTCATCATGGCAGGTGCACATTAGGTAATAATAGATCCCCACTCCAGTGGTACAAATTACTTCTACAAATGTGCAATTAAATCACCAAAAGCCAACAGATGCTGAGTAGAACTGGGAATGTGGGCAGCTGCACGCTTTGCCTGGATGGGAATCCAGCTTTACACATGATAACATCTTTTGGAAGCACACAACAGAAAGTCTTATTAACAACAGAAGCAGATAAATACTCCTCCTCCATTCATGCTCTACAAATACAAACATACGCCTGACATCTCTGGTTCTCATGCACTTTATTCACTCTCTGGATTTGATCTGCGAGCTGTAAGTTCAAAGTCCCGGCAGAGCTATTAAATATTAAATGTGACACAACAAGAAAACTAAACAAATAAATAATGTATATTGAAGATGCACAGCTACAGTAAAGGTTTGAACTGATGCGGTTGCTCCCTCGATGATGCAAACATGATGCACGGCAATTAGATGTAAACACACTCAAGTCTTCCTAAAGCCTTGTCATGAGATTTCCTCACAGGTGCTCTCTTAGAGAAAACCTGTGTGGAGACTAATCAGAAAATACTGTTTCAGCAGAGAAGATTTTGTTTTGATATGAGATGAGAAATATAGAAATCTCACACGGATGATGTTTATATCAGGAATGATAGCTTGTGTGCATTAATTTCCTAGAGACCAACTGAAACCTTAAACATAGTAACTTGCCTAATCCAAACCTAACCTAACCTAAACCTAACTATATCCTTAACTTTAAGCTAAACTTAACCCATGCTAACTTAAACTTAACCTAAACCTTAACCTTTCCCTAACAAAAGTCTTCACCTTAAAATGTAATGATTTACACTGAGGACTTGTTTTTTATCCCTGTAAGAAAAGACAACTCCCCATAATTTGACTGTGTGAACAGATTTAGGTCCCCACAACATAAGTAATCATTGGACCACACACACACACACACACTCACATGGCACACGGCACACTCACCTGTCAATGCTGATCGCACACAGGTTGAGGATACTGGCGGTGCACATCATCACATCCAGCGTGACAAAGATGTTACAGTAGAGCCGGCTGAAAAGCCAGGCACCGCCGACCACCTGCACAGGACACACAGGCAGATTAACAACGCACACGTTCCTCTTCCCCCTCTTAACCGTGAAGTGTGAAGCACCTCGCCAGCACACATGAATGCACATGAATGGTCTTATATTAAATTGAAACATCCTGTCAAATCTTCCGTAATATACTGATTTCAGCATTTATGCTAATAGGGGTATAAATTAGACTAAATTATGCATGAATTAGCACATATGTTGAAGTGGGCAGGCGTAAACCGTGATGGTAGCACCATGATGGACCACATACTTAATGTAAGCATGTACTGAAAGTAGAAGTTAGAGACCATGTCAAACACAGGGTTTAAAGGTCATCCCATTAACCCCAGCTGCACCAGCAACACCCAAACCCCCACACCTCCACCTCCATCCCCTCCCCAACGGTCCAGCTCAGACCGACAGGCTTTCTCTCAGGCTTCATAAAGCCTGGTAATAAGTGTCTGACTAAGATGAATGGGATCCAACCTCCAGTGCCTGTCAACGGAGTCTTAAGTCTGGAATGGGAATATACACCCACCTACTCACACACACACACACACACACACAGACACACACACACGCACACACACACACACCAAATCTCAAAATAGCTTTATCCTTTATACGCATATGTGATGATTCTAATTCCTCTTTTAGTCATTTTTTACACTTGATCTTGGTCAGTGCCCAACAATCTGTTGTAAAACTCTCGTCTGCTTCTTTCAAAGAGCTATCTGAGTTAAACGTGGTAAAATAAACCAGCTGACATCATTTTGATTTCACTAAGATACTTTTGATATTTTGTCACAAAAAATGTGTCGACTAAGGTCTGAAAGTTATAACTCAATTAACATGAAAGATGTGGGTGTGTATTCCTTTCTAAAGATCATTGTTTGCCTTTATTTAATGGATGAAAGGTTGAGAAGAGAGGATAGGAATGACATGCAGTAAATGATTCAGGATTAAAAACAGGGAGTCACTGCGTCAGAGATTTACGACTATATAATACGAGCCCTAACACTCGGCTATTGGTTCACCTTAGATTTTGGTGTTATGCAGGTACAGAGGGTGTAATGAAGAATGCTACCAGGTTACATTATAGGAACTGCAGGAACCAGCATGTTTTTTGGAGCTTTATCCACATTGTAGTGTTTCTAATCAGGAGTTAAAAGGAGAGACGAAAATCATTATATTCAAAGAAGTCAATATGAAAACTGTGAGTGTTTATCTCTTTGGTGCACACACACACTACTGATCCATGATGCTCTACAAAAAGGGAAACAAGAAGCTGCTCACAGCTAGAAAATAAAATAAAGAATAAATTACAGGTGGTTTGAAAAGATCCTGGATGAAAAAGAGTTTCTAAAAGAACTGATTGATTGATATCTTGTGGTGCACCACATGTAGCCTTTCCTGTTAATACAATATGGTAAAATTGATGCTATTTTGTATTTCAATTGCCACTAATACACCACTATAGTTAGTACAGTATAGATGTTGCACTGCACGAGTTTGAATTGTGGAGCTGAGACACAGCATAGGGATAATAATCAGGATATCTCAGCCTCTGCTGAATCAATCTGACCATTCTCTTTTTGATCTCTCTCAGATGATTAAACTCTATGGAAGCTCGAAACTAAATCACTGCAGCATCGTCTTTAATCTTTCAATATATATGGCGCAGTACATGCTGCATGTACACAACACTTGTTTCTACTCAGTCAACAAAAGCAACGAGGCACACGTGTGGGTACAAATTGAATGTGGTGTGCACGGTGTGGGAATATGATGGTGACTCATATTGACTGTGTTTGAAGATATGGGATCTGTAAAGCAGTCAAGTAAGCAATTCAAAAGCCTCAGGAAAATGTAAAGCAGGAGAAACACATTTAAAACAGTGACAAATCAGATGGGGAATGAATAGACAGTTTGATGTGGGTTGGAATTAGCGTTTTTACACGAATAGGGTTATAATGTGAAGTTACAAGAAGCATGCTTCGGGAGATGGTGGAGACTTTGAATGGAGCACGCTTCTCGTTAACACCCCGGTACAATGATCAATTATAATTTAATGAGCTTTTACAACCTGCTAACACTGATGTAAGATTCTCTCTCTGGGACAGACAAGGTCGATCACTCATCTGTGCAGCACCTTCAACCTGTGTAATCATTCTGACTTCTTTCAAAACGTTCAAGTTTGGCAACGCTTAAAATCATTCAGGAATTGAAAACTATCTCCTGGCGACAAAAATTACAAGGCGGCATATTTCGTTTTCATATGACCTCCTAGCTATGGCGACACCTCCAAAGAATAAAACAGAATGGAACTGGGCATAATCATAGCCGATGATATGAGGCCCTGGAATTAATCTGAAATCAAATCATGTTTATCTTGTAGAAAATTTCAAATCATGCAATTCAAAATAGTTCTTAGTGCACACAATATGCACGCCAATGTGTCTGACACTTGTGACAGATGTTCCTGGCTCCTTGTTGACGCACTCGTATATTTTGGTCGTGTCAGAGACTTGAAAACGTATTTAACAATCATTTCAGAAATGTGACAACCAGTAATCAAATCATCCACTGCAGAGTTTTATATTTGTTATACACCCGAAGCCGACAAAAACATTTCGGTAAAGAGAGCAAATCTAATTTACCATTGTACCAGCCTGAGCAGGGCAACTCTCATTATGAAGAAATCGTTTCTCCCATCATCAACTTCATGGCTGTGATAGAATTTATTTTGAAAAGTTTAACAGTTACTGAGAGTCCAATTTACTTTTCTCTAAACTTGTCAAGACGATTATATTAAAATATATACCTGTCATTGCTTTTCTTTAATTACCTCTGCCAAAAAGTTTTTCATTGCCATTTATTTATTTGTCTGTCTGACTTTCACCATAATTACTCAAAAATTACAGAATCTATTTCCATGAAGTTTTGCGGATGGGTGGAGCATGACCTGAGAAAGAACCCAATTCATTTTGGACCAGATCTGAGTAAGAGGGTGGATATGGGAATTATTTTTCTCTGTCTTTAACATGGTGAGACCGGGCTTCATTGGGAGGGTGGCCTTAAAGAGACAGAGCTGCTTCGAGCATTTGAACTTTTTCAAGTAATAAACCAAATCAAAATCATGAATACATGAGCATAATATATCTTAATTATTTTCTTATTACTGTCAGTAATGCCAGCACTATACCTCCAGCTAGGATTAGAACTTCAAAAGGGATAAATGAGGGGGTGGGAGGTTGGAGCATTTCATGTCACTCGGTGTTTGTGATGATTTCTAAAATGCCAATAACAAAAAAAAGAAAACGTGCTGGTGTAAAAAGTAAAACTCTAATTTCACAAGAGTTGAAAAGGTCTTGACAAAAGAGCTAATGTGTATTTAGGAGAAAGTGTTTATTATAATCATCCTTCTGACAGATTTCATTCATGCATTAATAAAACAGTGATAAAATCTTGTCCTGGACAAGGAGCAACTTCTGTGCTACAAACTGAGCTATATTTCTGCAGCCAGCATTCAACATCATTGTGGACAGGGCTCAGTCACTGCTGCCAATACAACCACTTCCCTCAGATGTAAGTCATAGATCAACTGCACCATACAGAAATAAGGTGGCTTGCTCAAGGGCATGAGTAGTAGCTGCTGAGGGTGGGAAGAGTGATACTGTTCCTGCCAGAACACATTGGCAGAAGCAAACCCGCAACCCCCGCAGTAACAAGCTAATCTGCCGTCCTTCAGATTAGAGCTCACAGGGTGATGGTGCTTGCAGTGCCAGTCTTTGCCTCTGACACTGATCTAACGTGTTTTTATCCTGACCTCTGCATTCTTTTTAAATTAATGAGCATTGTACTTCGGTGTCATACTATTTTTAATGACCCTTTCCTAATGGGATTGTAAATCTGACTTTGAAACTCAAGTGAAGAGTTCCACTCTAAAATGAAAAATGTAGCACATGGTGTAACAGCATGGAAGTTGAACTCATGACTGAATCCCGTCGAGGTGCCTGGGTACCTTTATCACCTTTCATAGGATATAATCTTTTTTAATTTGTCAGACTCTGCTCACTGAGTGGGTTCGTTTCATTTCTTTTCTGGTTGACCTGCGGTTGGAACCCCTGCCAGCTGTGATAAATGGTGCTTTCTGCTGATTGTGTGCAAACTTTGAACAGCAGGGTGGCTGCTCAAACATGACTTGACTTCAATCAGCTGATTTTTTAATCTGGTGAGAAACACACTTGGACTCCCCATGTTTCAAGTGCCGTTTTCAGACATGAACTGATAATTGGGTTTTTGTGTTTTACATATAAAAAACACAACGGGAGATTGATCAGGTCAGGTGTATTCATGAAAATAATAATCCCCGTAACTTTCAGGTGAGGGGTGGTGCTTGGGTAGAGGCAGGACATCATCACTGGCGTCTGCCTATTTGACCCGAAGCTCTTCCATCTCGTTATATTTTCATGTAGACTTCTTTGTCAACTTCTTCTGCGTGTACGGCACCTCATTTTCATCCTGAGACTTTTGTATCACAGTTTTACAAGCTGTCTCTCTGGCTGGGAATTATCTGGACATTTTCCTGCTGTATTCTCACATGGGGTTACTCAGACATTGTACAACTGGGCTGGCAGGATAACTGACTCGGACTTCTGCATTTTCACTATAGTGCTGCTTGGACCTCATCTTCTGAAATTACGAAAACTAACTAACCCAGCAAACCTGACAGACATTCTGTTTTTGGGCCTTAACCCTCCCCAAGCCCAATTTTGTTCCCTGATTACATGTGCAGCATTAAAAATTAAGTAGATAGCCCAACCAACGTGAGCACCCCCCCAAAAAAAGTTGGGTACAGTCCCCTTGGAAGTTTTTTGAAAATTGTCCAGACTTCATTGCAGTTCTGAAAGCAGCAAAGAAAGCATGTGCTTCTGCAAACAGGGCCCCTCTTTAGTACACTGACAGTGTGTTACAGGTGGATGCCTGAGGAGCACTGGTACAGTTAATAGAGCTACTGAACGGCAATTGACACTAAGAGGGAGGTAGAGTAAATTAACAATTACCAAGCAAACCATGTCACAGTAATCAATGAAGTGCAAATAAAAATTAACAAGAAGCATAAAAAGCTATTTGCCTCAAAGGTCTGATAAAATAAAACTCACGTTTGCAGTCGCTTCCTCCTAATTTGAAGCTCCGTCAATTATCTCCACCAGATGAAGTCATACTTTGTTAATATTCAATATATCCTTCAGCAATTATGTAGAATCTGGATGAATAGTGAAGCACTGGCCCAGCTAATCCTTTCATCACCATTACTGTCTACCTATCACCCACATAGTTGTCACTACATAATAAGCTCCAAATGACCTTCATCCTTTTCCTGTCTGACTCCAGCTTCTTTCTTTTTTCGTAGCAAAAGTCCACTATGTCTCCCACACAGTGATCTGCCCTCTCTCCTCTGTCTCCCCTCTGTTGTGATCTCCTCATTCACTGCTGAGCATCTGTATTATAATCTCTTCCACATCCCCTGTAGCTCTAATACTTCCTCTTAGCGCTGCTCTCCTTCACAGTTCTCCATCAGTGACTCCCAACTACTTTATGCAGGTGCCAGGGGCTAAGTGTAAAGAATCAGAAAATCAATATGAAAATTTATATTTGATAAAATGATATCCAAATGTATGTGTTTACCTGAGGGGAATCATAGGAAATAATTGTTTGAACCACTAAGCCCCCAGTTAAACAATACAAAATTGAATTATTAGAATTTATGAATGGAATTTAAATAAATCAAAAGATTGTTCAAATTAAAAAGGGTTTTACAAAAACAACAGAAAACAGTCAATAAACATATCATTATGACCACACATAGTGGACCTCTAAAGTGCACTTAAAAGGAGAAATAATTAACTGGATCCCCAAACTGGGAGATCAGTTGTTGCATCCTCTGAATAATTTGTATTGCTCTGCCTTGTTTTACCAGCACAAGGCCAGAAGTGTCAAAGAAATAATACATGAAAAAACTGAAAGAAATTAAATGACTAAACAAATTGAATAGCTAATAGGAAAATGAGTAAAGTTGACCTTTTGAAATGTTTAAATATAAGTAGTATTCTCAATTCATTTTGATAATGCAGTTTGCATTCTTTTCAAACCACATTTTCAAATAGCTTTTTTTAACGGTTAGGTCATTTACATATCTGAAATAATTTAGTTAGCTGGCGATAATTAGTGGTTGAAGGTAATTAATGAGCAAGTTACAGCGGAAAGTTCAAATAAGAGCAGCTGAACCGCTCTAAAGTAATTCTGACTGGCTACTGTCTTGTATGGCAGTACTATAAAAGCCATGTGGTACTCATAGTATAGGTAACGGTTGATAGATTAACAGTTGAACTGGTGAGTTAAAAGGATGACTTGCAAAAATACTTTGCTTCAATAAATTGCTAGGCTACATTGAAATAGTTGGCAAGAACTAAAAGTAATGTGTCACAGCTGCCAGTGGAAGGTTGTCAGGAAGTGTGGGTACATCAGACAGCTGTAAAACAGTTTGAGAGGCGCTTCAGATCAATGCTGTGGTGAATCCAGACACTCCTCACCTCCAGGTACACAGCCCAGGGCATCACCAGCAGAGCCACCAGCAGGTCAGCGACGGCCAGGCTGACCACCAGGTAGTTGGTGGTGGTCTGAAGGGAGCGCTCCCTCAGCACAGCCAGACACACCAGCACGTTCCCAAACACGATGGCCAGGATGAGCAGTGAATACAGCATGGCATAGTAGTTATGCTCCCCCTTGTCCTGCTCTGATCCCTCCGAGCTCTCATTTCGCTCGTCCCATCCGAGGCGCTCTGACTCGTTCCAGAGTCGCTCTGCGCTACTAAACATCGCCATGGAGACGCCCCTGTGACATGGGAGGTGATATGTTTGGCAGACCTATCAAAGGAAAAGAGCAGGCGTCACACAACTTCCTCTTTTTTGGATTCACATGCAGACACAGACATAGTGTTTCTCAATTCTCATTAGTCAGATGGAAGTGAAGCATATTGGCCATCAGACGATAGTGGCAAGAGGCCTTCTGGGAAACTGGCTCCTAGCAACTATGGGCAGATGAACTGATAAATAAAATGTTTGAGATGCATCCCAGCAGTGATGCTCCTTGCCTGTAGATCACTTCTGTTGGCTTTACCCTGGCACAAGTATTTTATTTTTCCCTCTGAATGAAAAGTGGAAGCACATATTGATGCCTCCTTATGATACTTATGGAGCCAATCAACTCTGTATGACACTCAGCAGAAATCCATGCTCTTAATAGCAAACTTCATCAACATTGCAATCCATTAATGACGGTTCCAGTCAGCCTTTAAAATGTATCCCCCTTTCCTTCCTGTAAATGGTTTGAGAAGCATCTAACCCAGACAGAAACTACTACGCAGAGATGGCAACTTTAATGAGGGGCTGGCTGTGTGCCTCTGTGCATTGTCAGTGAGGTTAGCTCATAGGGGAGGGGGTAATAAGTCCGTTCCGCCACCCTGAGAGGTCCGCTTGGCTCTGGTCCCGGACTCTGCTCCTTGCACTCCATCCTTCCCTCATTTATTCCCAATCCTCCCTATGTGGCACAAGTCCAGATAACAGTGCTGAGGCAATGCTCACACATCTGTCTACATGGTAAATAAATGGATCCATCTTATCCGGTTCCTCTCTGACAGAAAAAGTCTGAGAAACCAGGGACATATTTAGACTTGGCTCAAACCCAGGATCCTTTTAAAGATTTTCTCAGTCTATAATTCCACTCTGTCCCCACAATGGCTGCAGTATCATGTAATTGAGAATCTGGAGAAGCAGAGATACACCAGCCGCCGAACACCTTGAAGCCTCCTAATGGGGGAACGCATCCCGGAGTTTAGCACAAAATTAGGTCCGTCAGATCAGGAGGAAGATGAATCATTACACCTGTAAGCAAAACCACATCCATGCACACACACAACATATATGCACATACTGTCTCTTGTTTGGTGATACAAGGTTGATGGAGATGCAGTTAAAGGTCTGTTCGCACTTGTAGAACTGAAATACAAATACAGACTGATTTCCCTCCTCACTCTAGTTGCCTTGACCTGGGTCTCCTTTCAACCATCACCCCTCACTGCTAATGGAAGGTTCTCTGACCTTCAAGTGGACATCATTAGACCCTTTGACTGCACAGCACACACATGCATGTGCAAATACTTGCTCAGTGTGTGTGCTCCTTTAATTGAGGGAAGGAAGGGTGTTTCACTGTATTTACCACAGAGACCTAAAGATAACTCAAGAATAATAATTGTGGATCATTTAATTGGAGGTTATGCTCACAGGAACTTATTGCTTTCCCCCCATTTTCAGTCTTGAAATGCGTAACAGCTGCCAGGGAATCAAACCTTTATCGCCAAATTCAATTAAAACTAATTGTAGGAGGACGTTATCATGCTTCACGATCATGCTTCGAGAGAGATTGGGTTCAAATATAGTCCGGTGGCCAAACGCAGAGCAGTAATTACACATAAACACGGTGGCACAATTAGGAACCCAATCAGCAGATACTAATTCAACAAACAAGCAGTTGAGCAAATGCAAATAAAACCTACTTTAAACGTGCGTAAATGCAGAATAAACACCAAATACCTGTTACTGTTTCCCAGTGGAGGATTCATCAGATGCCACAGAGGAAAAGCATCACCCGTGCAGAGGTAAAAGTTGTCCGGTCACCGCGTCCAGAGCTGCGAGGCGAGCGGAAGGAGCGGGAGGAGCGCTCGGTCGGTGCCATTGCGCACGGGAGAATGTGGATGTGTGAGGCTTTCAGATGGATCTCCTCTTCGATATAAGTGAACGCTCAACACGCGCAATGCTCAGTGGCTCGGTGACAGCCGCCAACACACGCGCCTCGAGCTTTTTACACTTTGATTATGCAGCCTGCGCGCACCGGTGGCGTGCGTATGGTGGAGTGGAGACGTCAGGTGGCGCCTTCTTTTGCGTAAAAGTGATGCAGTGGCGACTGAATGTGAACAATTATTACAACCACAAAAGATTCATCGCTTCAACATGAACCAAATTAGTTTTTACTCATCTAGGAGTTATAACAGCTGCATGGATTGAGCTGAAATCATGCCCCATGGCTGTATTCCTCAGTATGACCCTGAACCAGTCTGGGTCGTGCTTTGCTGGAAGTGACATTCGCATAAAAATAGTCTAATGCTGACCTCATAAAACAGGACCAGAGTGACCAGTAAATTAGGTCGCTCTGGGTCTATGCAGGAAAGAATTGTATAGATGTGTTCTATATGGGTCCACAAACCCCCTTCCTCCACATAAGATCTGCCAAAAATAAATCTCAGTGCAAATGAAAAAAGTCTTATAGGGTATCACACACTCCCAGCATGCCTGCCTTGTTCTACTATCCTCCACATGACATTTTAAGGTAAGAGGAATAAGCCCTGCAGGAGTTCCTACAGCACATGACCTAACAAATGAGACCAGACCAATGAACCAAAGGAAGGTGTTATTTCATTCTTCCAACCTCCGGCATCCAATTTTATGCATAATTGAGGCTTATATCATTACATTAACGTTTCGATTGAGAGGCAAACCAAGGTTACATGGCTCATGTTTCCAAATATCTGTAACATATGGAAGCAAAAGCAAAAGCCACAGTGTAGATATGCTGATTAATGAACTGCTCTTTAACCACAACAGCTGACAACATGAACTGCTCATTTTCCGCCAAGAACCTGCAGTCAGTTTGTGTTTTAGCTCATCTCAAAGTGGCTATATTGTCCTTGGTGCTCATTGGAAATTTGACTCATCCTTCATCTCGATGGAAAATGTCTCCTGTGCTGCGCAGAGCTGAAGAGAATCCTAATTCATTGCACTTTAAGTTGGCAGGAATCTGTGCATTTGTACCTTGACAGACATGAGGGTGTGCAATGTCCATAACGCAGAATTCTGACTTGGGACAGCACAAAACCACTCCACTCATTCAACAACTTAACTCTGATTTCCCTTCCACTCCATTTATGCACACTCTGCAACATTCAGAAAATCAATCTCAGTCTCCCCTACATGAATGGAAGCATCTGGAGGTGTATAATGTTTTTCTGAAATTGCTGTTGCCTTACTGGCGTGGTGATTTATAATGCATGAGTTAAATGTGCAAAAAAATTGAAAAGAAGGTCTTTTGGATTGAATGCATGTCCAAACTCCTTATCCACGGTCACCAAGATGATCCACTCTGACGTAAAACCCACAGTGGGCTTTCAAAACCCTCCTCTCGTGCCCTCCAGACCAGGACCATAAACTGAGCATTTATTCCTTCAGCCACCCCCTCAAATAAACACACACATAATAACACACACACTTGCTGTACCATTGACGTTTTGAAAATAGCCCCTCAGAGTAGATATATGGGAAGGTGGAGGGGGAAGCGGGATTTCTCTCCGAATGACGGATGTACAGACCTTGTGTCAGTCAAGGTCTTGACAGCTGTTCACAGAGCAGTTTCTTAAAGAACCTGTAACTGGAATAATACCAGTGTGAAGGTCAGGCCTGGGATTGCATCACTACAGTAACGATTAAGGACACATGTAGTGGAAATATGGAGATGAACATTTTTCTTTGTGGTGGTTGAAATTTTGCCGCCATCTACTGGTCCAGAGATCAAACTGCTTATGCACAGATGCACCTTTAACACAAATGGCCATTTCGACTAAATCAAATATAAACAAAAAAAGAGAAATTATGTTGTAGAAAAATGAAACAACAGAAAAATAAATGTTTATGTCATTTCATAATGCAACTCTGTTTTTAAAAATGCATTCAATATTCACTATTTTGTTATAATTTAGCTTAACCTTTCTTTTTTTCTTTTTTTCTGAATGTATCAATTTCCTTATTATTTTTTGATTTAGGCTTTTAGTTTTTCTTCTTTGCCTTTTCTTGATATTGCTTTATTTTTGCAGCTGAATGATATTTTTTGCAAACTAATACAAGGAATTAAACATTAGGAAGGTTATTGGTGGATATTACACAATTACAATCACATTTATGATATATCTGTAAATACTGCAGCAACAAGTGTGTAATATGAATCTGTAACAAACCACAGGTCACAGTCTGTCATAAATCATGCAATGTAAAAGATAAACAGCACAACTTGACAAACCGTAAACCTTGAATCAGTCAATAAACTATAACAAGTCATTGTGATTACAAAGAGCAGAATTCAGCCCGGATTCATTTTTCTTTATTCTTCTCTGCCCACTCACTGTAGCCTCCTTCATAATGTCTCGCCCTGAAAGAAGGAACACAAGCTGCAGTGATTCATAATTAACTACACAGTCCACTGTGCAGTTAAACAGGGTCCATATTACTCCACATGATTTAAATCTGAATGTATTAGTCTAAAATTTAATTCCCAGTTGAACAGTTAATCCAGTTTCATTAAATTTGTCTTTCATAGGATCAAAGCAACAAAACTATTTGTGGGACACTGCATATTTCATGTTTTTTTAACGTATGGAGGACCACACTGCCATGTAAATTAGCAATAAAGCATTCATGCATTTAAAACAATCGCAAACAAGACTCTGCTGTTTTACCTGGTAAATCCCAGCTGCCGGCTGATGTCCAGTGCTTTGGCGCTCCTTTTCCCACTTCTGCAATGAAACACGATGTTGTTGTCATCTTTCCCAGGAGCCTTCACTTCAAATTTGTCCTTAAAGCTATCTGGGGACAGTTTCAGGGACTCTTCCAGGGTTACCACTGATATTCACACACACGAGCAAAAAACATAGAAGTTAAAAAAAACCCATAGAAAACCATCGTTATCCCACTTTTGTTCACGTTATCTCTTACATGGGATGTTGACAGCATCTGCGATGTGTCCGGCCTGGTATTCATCAGGATCCCTCACATCGAACAGCTGAATGTCACGGACGGACAACATGGTCTTCAGCTGTGAGTAGGTCACCACTGAAGCTGAGGTGGAAACATGACAAACAACAAAATCCACCTTTTTCAAGTTTAAACCCTATTAACTGAAAACAACTCACCATCCATTGATTGAAACCTGTTTACTTCCCTTCTACAGCAGGTGTGAGGGTAAACTGAAGCTTTCATTCAACTCAGCCACTGACAGACCATTGTTCCCGTTACAAATCAAAATGTCAGAGTTCACCAGACTCTCTGTTTTTAACAGTCACATGGAAAACACTGGATAAACCACCTGCTGTCCATTCACTGTGATGACACTGGCAGAAGATGCTTTGATAGTGACATTAAACCAAACATTTCCCACATTATTTACATTTTGAACACAGACACAGGATGACCCGCTCCACCCTATAAGCCACAGCCACCTCTAAAACTTAAAACCACATTATTTCCAAATTTTGGTCTATTGCACATTCAGCTGTTGGCATGTGTCAAACACCTGCCAGAGAAATAATCTCAATTTTGCCTTTAATATGAGCTTGAATTTTTCTGGAAGACAATATTAACATTTGTTTAATAGCTTAAAACAATATTCACATCTTGTGTTGATTCATGCATTTCAGATAAACGTCAGTACTACAGCAAACTTCCCAAACCACCCTGAGACTTCAGTTTGTAGAGTCTTGTCTTTGCAAATCTTCCAACCAGGCTTCTAATCCCACAGTTTTTACAAACTTAAACTGTTTTTTGAAGAAACCCCAATTCAAGCATTCAGTTTGCAAATTCCCTCTACGTTCACACGTCTTCCAAGGTCTTAACATGACTTTGTTCTTAATGAAAAAAAATCCTGACACATGTACTTCCTAATTTCTCATTATTTGTCTCCGTCTAGACTCCATTCCTTTGACCTATTTTGAATAAATAATAAAAAGATAATTGTTTTTCCTCATCAGTGAACAGTCTCTGTATGAGTTTCCTCCTTTTGTCACCATCATTACACACTTTCATCCCTTTGGCAGCCTCCCAGTCTCCAGAATTGTATCGGTCAGTGGAAACAGCTCTCCCATTGCCACCCACCACCCGCAGATGGAGGAATATTGCATATAGCTTAACTCATCGCTCCCCAGGGGGAGTTCTTCCCCATCTGATGGCATAATTCAGCCATTGTGAGCGAATATATTTAGTGCAGCCTCATTATCACTGCTGAACTCTCGTCTTACTCGGTGCTCATTAAAAAATATTTTCGCTGGCCCTCGAGATCTGCAGCAATAACCTGCAAAGTTTTCACTCATAGATATTTGTTTGATTTCTGACTGCCTGAATACGGCCACGTTTCAAAGCTGTCACTGCTGGTGCATCATGTCCCTGCAGCACATTGTTGAATTACTGAGACTCATCCGTCTTTGGTGACTGGTTCCATGAAAACCATTTATGTTCCCACACGACTGTGCAGACTGAGATGACTGCACTGGTTTCTATATGCCAGTGATTTAAAACCACAGACTGTGTATGAAGACAGACTCCATGTTTCCACTTTTTCTCTGTAGAACAAAATGTAAGTTAATGAAGTTGCCATCTTTTGCCTCTGACGTCATTTGTAGTGGTAATGATCGGGGGATGGAGTCATGGTATCAAGGCCCTGCCAATGCATTGTGTTCGGCCAATCGAGAGTCAGTCTCAGCTGTCAATCATGATGATCCGCTGCATTTTTTTTTGGATCAATTAATTAATTGAACTAAACTTGCCAGAAAAATAAATGCTTGGACATTCATAAATATCAATTACCTTAAATAACAGAAATCATCTTTGGGAATTGTTTTATTTATTATTTAGTTTGGTCTCTGTCCCATCCAATAACATGGAGGAGGTTCAACCAGACAAATACTGCTGCCAGCCACCAGAGGGCGATTGAGATAATTAGACTTCACATTTGGGGAGCTGCCATGTCGTCCATCTTTATAGTCATTGCCGTAGATGTTCAAATGAAACTGTCAGAGAAGGGGAAATCGCTGTTTAATTGAAATGTAGGTAGCAAGGCTTTGCCCAAGGGGGGTGAGCGGGTCATCCAGACACCAGAAGGTCGGCAGTTTGATCCCAGTTCCACCTGCCCCCTTGCACAAGATACTGAACCATAAATTACCCCACTGCTGTTCCCCTAGTAAAAGTGCTGTCCACAGATGTAGTTTGTATATGCACTTGAGTGGTCATCAAGCACAATATAAATATGTTCAATCCAGAGAACCATCTATTATTGTCCTCTCTCTGCCGGTGTTAGCAGATACCAATTCAACACAAAAGCCTGTGAACACTAGGACCAGTGGCCAAATAAAAACCTGAGGTATATTTTATATTTCCTCCTCTCAGTCCAAAAAGTGTCACTGTTCACACATGTTCAGTAAACATTTTGTTCAACAGACCTGCGGGAAGCTACAGGTTTACGTGCTGTAGCTCATACTGACAGGAGTAGACCTGTAGCTTCCTCCAGGTCTGTTCAACAAAATTTTCTCATGGTTGAGCAACATTGGAGGTGTTGCCTCATCTTGATCTCGATGTCACTGGTACGCAATGATTTACAAATCAAAAATATTGATGTAATATCTACTGATTTATTACTTATTCCACCAAAACCAACAATGAGTTTATTTAATAAATAACTTGCTTGTTCAAAACAATTGGCTTTGGCCTTCCATAAAAATATCATGATTGTTCTTTTAATTCAACCCCCCCCCCATGAAGTGATTCTACGATAATGCCTCATTCATCTCTTCACTCCTTAGAGCAACAGGACAGTGTCATCATGTTGGTTGGTTCTATTTCTGCACAAACTGCTGCAGACGAAGAAATTCAGAAGATTTGTGACAGCGTAAGTAGAAAAAAGATATTCACTCACAGTTTACACGGCTTGTGATTCATTTTGATGCTGTTGTCACTTTATGATCAGATGAAGCCTGACGCTGAACTGCAAGCAGAGAGGAGCTTTGACGTTTTTACAGCCAAGATGTACAGGAAGCAGACCGTGGCCGGGACCAAGTACTTCATTAAGGTAATTATATATATTCAAAGATGATATTTTTAAATCGTGTCCACACAAGATAATACAAATGATCTTAAAGGACATCTAGGGCTTAAACCAGACTGATGACGAGAAACTATTCTTAATCTCTTGCAGAAAAGAGTTCTGCAATTCCCCCAAATTTATTGTGACTTTCAACTGTTTAAATGTCATGGTTCACTGTCATCGCTCTCATGCCAAGTTTCTTAATTCAACTTTATTATAAATGTCCAGAAAATGTAAATGAGTGTGTTTTTAACCTCACTGATGTGTATTAAGAGTTAATGCTCCAGTGAGGTGCCAGCCAAAATGACACAATGAGAAGTACTTAAGAAACCAGTCAAACCTGAAACAAATTAACTCTCATCATTATTTTTGGCTGCCTGCTCTGTTCAGAGAAAAACCTGATGTTTTTATGTCATGTCAGATTTTTTTCTCAGGAGTTGCTCAAGACCAAAATAAAGGTAAAAGCAGAGGGATTGTTGGACTCATGTTTATCAGGTGAATAAAAACATGTATTTTTGCTTCCTTGCAGGTCCATGTGGGAGGAGAGGAACATGTTCACCTCAGTGTTTACAAACCATTAAATCAAGGAGGCATACTTGTGCTGAATACAATACAGCAAGAGAAGCGTGCCGAGGACCCTATCAACTTCTTCTAAAAGGACCACAGACATACTGTTTACGTACTGTAGACCATACTGACAGGAGTATGTCAAAATTGAACTATTTTGAATTAATAAATAATAATTGAATACATTTTATTTGTTGTGCATCTTTCAATGTGTTGCTTTTCTCTCTGTGCTGGTTTTCTGCAGTCACACACTTGCTTCAGAAAGCGTTCACACGTCGTCACAAATTTGTATTGTGTTTTAGAGGATAAAATTACCATGTTGAATAACCAATAATGAAAAGGTTAATAATAAATATTAGAAATAAAAAACTGAAATCTCTTCAATAAATTAATATAAATCCACTAATTGTGGCAGCTCAGGTGTCAAACAAACATTTCATTTTAGAATCAGGGTTTATGACCTAGTGGGTATGCTGTGACAAGTCAAAACAAGACTAGTCAACTGAATCTGAGACCCATGAATCTGTGATACTATCTTTTCTTGTTCGCTCCACAAAATCTTTTTTTCTTTTTTGTCAGTGTAATGTGAAAATATTTTAACCGAGAGCGTAAAATGGCCAAAACAGTATATATATAAGTATTACACTACATTAAATGAGCTGTATCAAGGTGAATAATAATAATATTAAACTGATAGGTACAGGGGAGGTTTTACTACTACTACCAACAGAATACTACTACTACTACTACTACTACTACTACTATTAATAATAAGAATAATAATAACATGGATTAACTTGTACAAACATGTTTAAATAAAAGTTTGTCTCAGGTGAACATTCCTCATTCGACAGCCGCACCTCGGACTAACACATATCGTCAGTGAAGAGGGGGAAAGACAAAAACAAGAAGTCATACCACTCACTTCTATCAGTGTTACTTTAAATGGCTTCAAACAGAACCATATTACATTTTATTCTCATTCCGTGTCACTTTATTTCAGTTCTTTTGAATCGGTTTATGACTTCGTCGACCGCTCCTCTCCACCCCTCTCCCCTGCAGGTCGGTGGTACGCTCCAGACCGTCACATGATCACGGACTCACGCTGACTCATTGAAGGAAACAAAACGAGTTCCTCGTTTGTTGTTCGTGATTTTAGCTTCGATCGAGTGTCACGAAGATGTTGTGCGGTGGAACCTCCCAGCCTGTGGACGCAGATGAGCAGATCCAGAAGATCTGTGACAGCGTGAGTAGAGAAACCATTGTTCCTCTGTGTTTACTGGAAACTGTCCCCGCAGGGTTTGTGTTTCATTGTGTTGTTGTTGTTGTTGTCATGGTGTAGATGAAGCCCCATGCTGAAGCACAAGCCGGGAAGACCTTCGACGTGTTCGTAGCCAAGACGTACAAGACTCAGTGTGTGTCCGGGACCAACTACTTCATTAAGGTAGAAGAAGAATCCTGGAGGATGAGTCACACGCATCATAGGACATATCCTCTTTAAAGGTCCAGTGTGTAGGATTTAGGTGAAAGGGCAGAAATTGAATTTTAAACAATCCAGTGTTTTCACAAGTGTGTTTCAAATAAATTGTCTGAATTTCCTTTCCTCTAGAATGAGCCCTTTATTTTAAATATACTTTACAATTACGTCGGGAGTGGGTCCTCTCTACGGAGGCTGCCATGTTTTTTTTACAGAATCCCACACTGGACAAACTAAACACCTTTTGAGTTTGTGAGACAACTGAAAGTTTCCACTGGTTCTCTTTCATATATTTGAAAGGGAGGGTTGAGGTGAGGGGTATTCAGCTGCAAAGTGCAACTTCACCACTAGATTTCACTAAGTTCTACACACTGAACCTTTAAATGCATCTGTATCTTATACAAACCAAAGTAATTAGATTGTTTTAATTTGTCATTTAAAGATTTAAAGGGATAGTTCACAAAAACATTTTAATTCACTCATAAACTACTCACCATTGTGTCAATGGAGGGGGTGGGTGAAGTGTTTGAGTCCATAAAACTTTTGGAGTTTCAGTGGTAAACTTAATCCAATACAATTGAAGTAACTGGGACTAATTTTTCAAACATAATAAAAGAAAAGAAGAAAACATAAAATGCCTCCGTACTGCTCCTGAGGTGTCATCCAAGTGTCCGTCAGACCCGACATTCAAATTCTTAAGTGAAATTGGATTTGGCTGCAATTCTGTTTGTTTTGAGTTGAGCTCATCAAGATAAAGGTTTAATGCTCCTCTGAGTTGGCAGCATTATAGAAGAAGATGGCACAATGAGTTGTTGATAAAGAGGACAAGTCAAACCTTAAACCCAGTTACTAAATCAGTCATTTTTTTATGACTCGTGACTTGTTAAGCCCTATGACTCATACACATATGAGCAGATGGATGGAAACATACTATCTGACTCATAAAGCATCATTTTCAAACACAGCAGACGGCTGTTTACCACGAGACAGAGACTTACTGGAGCCAGTTGTTTTTCTCAGAGGAGCGAAATGAAGTTAACTCACATTCATCAGGGGAACACAAACTCCAACTTTTGTTTCCTTGCAGGTCCATGTGGGAGGAGATGAACATGTTCACCTGCGCGTTTACAAAAAACTGCCATGTAATGGAGAAACCTTGGAGCTGAGTAAGATGCTGCAAGACAAACGCCATCATGATCCTCTTGAGTATTTCTAAAAAGGGGCCACAAACCAAACAAAGCATCCTATCAGGCTGTAATCTCATTTCAATCAAATAGTCTCACATTCCCCCGGCTCTGTATGTTAAACAATGTTACCCAACATGTAATAATATACTGTCTTCTACTAGTGAAGCTCATGATGTTAGGAGAATGTCAACTATTTTTGTATGCCTTGAATTAATAAAAGATGATTGAATAACTCTGATTTGTTGTTGCTTTTCTTTCTGTGCGGCCAGTGGGGATTAGGACGATTCCAAAGGCCCAGCGCAGACAGGGGCCCTCAGAGAACACTTATTATTATTATTATTATTATTATTGTCAGTTAATTCATGTAATAAATTTGTGCTTTATTTTTCAATTTTTGGCAGAATTATCAGTAGAGCCTTTATATTTCACCCCTCTCTGTTCAATGCGTGGTTCAGTCTTGCTTGATTTCCAGTCAGCAGAACAGAAGGTCAACTGTCACTGGATACACTGGCTGTGGTTGTCTGTTGTTCACACTGGCAGCGTAGGTCATAGAGCTCTGGGTGTTTTTCAGTCTCCACAATAAGTTTTATGTCATCAATTCTTGATGAATGGTCCAAGATGGGAAGAGTTGTTTACCTGTTGTGTGTGTGTGAGTGTGAGTCTACTGCCCATCACCTGAAGTTCTTTACATTAACTTTTAGCTACAACCTTTATGAGGTTTCTAGTGTGACTATGTATTTCCTTGTATAAATCTAGTCCTATGTACTCAGTACCAGTACTATACAGTCTGAAGCTGTGCATCTCCTGCAATTATTTCAGAACAAAGCTTTAAAAAAAATAATTAAAGGACACGCTGGAGAGCTTTTTACTTTGAAACGGGTACAGTGAAAATGCAAACATTTCTGTTTTGCTTTTGAAATTTAAATCATTGGCACAAGAGCTCAGAGAAAAAAGTAATGAAATTGAAAATGTTTATATATTTATATATATTACACAACAAAGTCCACAGGTCAATTTGAAAATGTATATTTCTATGTTGAGTGGTTATCAAGCTCATTTGTGGCTGTTGAGTGCTTATGTTGCTCATGTAGGTTGTTCTAGCGCACATTTTTTCTTCTTTTCATTTACTTTATTATTAAACTATGGATCATCAAATGGGTTTTCCAGGCTGATGGGTGGTTTAGGTTTGTCACCAGTATTATATTCTTTCATACGACCCAAATTTCTAGAAATGCCTCTGAATACACCTCCATACATTTGTAAAGCACTTTGAATACTCTTGTGTCTGCAAACTTGCAATACCAGTATCAGAGAAGAGTCTCATTTAATCTTCCGAATCCCAACCAAACCAAAGTCAATCCTGCACACCCTGCAAATTCAAGTGTTGAAACTCTTCCATTTAACACACACTCACACACAGTGAGTTGAAGTAAGCAGTAGTTGTGTGACCACATTGCATTGACTTTACTCATAATCTTGTGATCTTGTTCCTCGTTGTTCAGCACATGTTGCATGACTGGTTCCTACAAACCAATGAAATAACCTTTAAACTTGTTTTTGTTAAATATGTTTACTTTGGAAAGTAAAATCTAATTTTCTCTTATCTCATGATGTGCATTTTGTTTGTTAAAATGAGTGATAAGAGGAAATAGTGATTACATTTTTCTCAACTGTCATTTTAAGTAGTTTTTAATCACACTGATGTTCCTTTAAATGTTCATTTTCTATTTATTTTATTTGATGCTCTAAAAACAGAGTTACAGGTTTAGTGTGTAGAATGTGGTTACATCTAGTGGTGAAGTTGCATGTTGCAGCTGAATACCCCCCCCCCCTTCCAAATATGAAAGAAAACCAGTGGAAACCTTCAGTTGTCATAAAATCTCCAAAGGTGTTTAGTTTGTCCAGTTTGGATGACTGTAAAAAACATGGCAGCCACCACAGAGAGGATCTGCTCCACATGTAAATATAAAAGAGCTCATTCTACGGTAAAGAAAAAAACAATTTGTACAATTTAGATGAAACACACTAGTGAAAACCTCACTAGGATTATTTTATATTCAATTTCTGCCAATAGATCCCTTTCACCTAAATCTTACACACTGGACCTTTAAAGCTCAGACTGTCTTGTGATTGAACCGCTGCTCCACTAAATGATCACAACTGCACAGACTCTGGCTCCAAATGACGTCAAAGGCACAAGATGGTGGCACCCATGTCCAAGATATTTTGGAAGTGGAGGCAGGTCATCCCTGAAATGGAGGCTAAAAACCCCATCTGACTCGCTGCCTTTCTGAACATTTGCATTGTGGATGAGTTTTAAAATAAACTGTACCACTCATTTTCATTTGGATGCAGAAAAGACCGAATCAAACAGACAGCCAGCGTCACATGAAAACATTTCACTGTCATTTAAAAAAAACAACCTCCTTTTGTACAATGATTCTCATTAAAGAAGCACATGGGACAGTTTTACAGCGATGGTAATGCAATACAATAATCACAGAGGAATATACTGTAAGTGTGATGGAAGAGAGGTCAGAGAGGTCTGGATGGTGAAGCGCCTGCAGTCACGACTCGGCAGCAGGTCACAGTGTCAGCTCCAGTCTGGGTTTAAACCTCGAGTGAGCAGCACATCTCACTCAGAGCTTCGTTTCACCTTCGGAGGCGTGTAGTGGATTCTGCACCTTTCACTGAAAACCTGAAGAAAAGGAATCAATGACGTGTTGTGCAACGCTGTGTTAGTACAGGATGTTTACACTGATAATAGAGAGCATACCTTCAGACTTCTATCATTGACAACTTCTTCAACATTCAGCTCTGACTGCATCATCTTTAACTGGAGACAAGAGGGGGGGGGGGGGTGAAAGATAAGAGATTAGTCTTTAAATATAACAGACATGATTCTGTTCTGGTTCTTATCAGTCATGACTCGACGACCAGCGGTGAAGGCAAATCGCTGTTAACACTTGATGTTCCACTTTGTCGCCAGTCCAAGAAAACCAAAAATCCCTTGTTTTACTTTTCAACATTAATTTTCATTCGTAGTGTTTTCTGTAACTAAGCAACCAACTGGGGCGTTGACAATCTACTTCTTACACCAGCACGCACATAGCCAGTGTTCACGAATGGTCACATGATGTGCTTTTACAGGAGAGAGTATAAATCAAGGGTCTCTTCAACTGGGATTAGGTGACAAAAGGTTTTGGTTTTGTAATTTAAGTGAATTAAGTTCAATCCTCTCTGAAACAGAAACGTCTTTCAGCTTCAGATGGATCGACTCAACAGTAACGCTCACATCTTACAGCCTTTAGGTGGACGTACTTTGGTCTGCTCCTTCCTGAGTTGCTTGATGACTGCCAGGTCGTCACCGTCTTTTGCTCTTTCCTCACGCAGCTGTCCCACCACCTCAGATGTTTGGGCTATACAGGCCTTGATAGCTTGGTCTCTGCTCAGATGGGCGTCCATCATCTGTTTGGCGCACACAGAGGACAAGAGATGAATTGCGGAGAAAACTCTGGAATCGTCACTTCTGAGCTTTTTATTTCAGTCTCGGCCGTCGCACTCACAGATTCATACAGCTGTTTGCATGTTTGTGTGGCATCAACTTTGCCTGAGAAGGAAACTGTGGGCACAGTGGTGTTCAGGGCGTGGACGATGCGGTCATCCATGGTGCGCATCACCTTCAGCACCTCCTGAGAAACACACAGCGGGACACAGAGACAGCCAGCAGCTTCAGGTCAACTCAAAACCATCCAAAACAAATATATATATATGTATATATACATATATATATATATGATTTTCAGTCAGGAGCACTTTAGTCAGGTGATTTAAATTTTTGCACTAGTTATCATTTGTAGTGTGGCTCTATTCTGGGGCATCACTGCCCCTCTCTGGCACACCTCTCACATTAAATATCTGATTTTATTCTCAGACTGTTGGATTGGAAGGACTTCTGAGAGCCTGAGGAGGTGATAGTGAGCAGTCTTTTTTTTTTTTTTTTACAATTTGACACAGCTATATTACTTGATTTTAACTTGTGCTTCCAGAAATAAGAATTAGTTCAAAGCATTTAACAACCTCTGCGTGTCATAGTTTTAGTTCTACTGAAGTACTTTGCTTCAACCACATGCAGCCACTTTTCTGATCGGATCCACATCACAGTGATCAGGAGGGTCACACCGGAAATACACGACACGGGAACCTCCGAACCACAACGATTCGGACTGACACCATCGCGTGACACGACCACACAAATAGATCTGTTTAAATTTACCTGGAACATTGAAAAGTCCTCACAGTTTAAAGTCCCACTGGGCGCCGCCATAGTGGACTGAGGGGTCCTGCATGGACAGAAAGCCAGAGGGCTGCTCAAGAAGGTGCCTGAATGAATATATGTCGTGTGTATATCAGATGTATCCATGATGTTCGATGGTTCATCTCTGAATAAGTGGAGCTAAGAATACGAAGAAGAATCCCTTCATTCAAATTAACATCAGTTCATATAGTGGAAAAATAAGCCGCATCATTTTTGATGAAATGCTGGTGTTAACGTCCTCTCTCCAACGATTACATTACTTTAGACATGTACATATTTTTTTAAACCAGTAAAGCTCTGTCAAAGGATTCATATATGATTTTTAATGCTGCACAGTTTGCACTGCATTGTAATTATAACAAAATATCATAGCAAGAAGTTTGTTAAAGGTTCAGTGTGTAGAATCTAGTGACATCTAGTGGTGAAGTGAAATTCACAAGCTTTTAATCTTTATTTTCACTCAGTTTCTCTTCAGTTTTGTGCCTGGCTGAAGTTTCACTGATTTTGGTTTTGGCTCCCTCCAGTGTCAGAAGCTGAAACTGAAACTATAACCATCTTGATCGACCTCTGCAGCATATGTCATAAACCCTACCTCCTACATGTCAGCAGATGGGACATGGACCAAACTAAAAAGTCAACATACACATTCAATACATTTTTCTCAACTTCCCAACTGTCATTTTAGATAGTTTTTAATCACACCACATTTTTGTATTTTCAAATTACCTCAAATCTTAACACACAGTAGTAAAAACATCACTAGGATTATTTTGTATTCACTTTCTGCCAATAGATCTCTCTCAGCTAAATATTACGCACTGGACATTTAATGATCAGTCAATTAAAAGCTGGTTTTGCATTACATATTCAACCTAGGTTTTTAGGTCATAACAGGAAAAAAACATAAATGAATCATGTAACTTCAAAGTATATTCAGCATGTACATTTCATAGTCATACTGTATATGTATTTTTCCAACAAACAAATCCACTGACTCTAAACCAATGAAATCTATTTTAAAATGCAGATTTTTACATTTCGTATATAAAAAATATATGAAATATAATAAAATAAATATTCATAAAAAAATAAGTCTATATTTAAATCCAATAAAAAGAGGGATATCCTATCCTACTAGTCTACAATTCAGTATTAGTTTGGAATATTTATGCAATAAGAAGTTTAGTCCTTATAGGATATATACACTATGAGTAACATCTGAAGAACAATGACCACCTATGACACAGCTTTGATAATACAGGGGTGGAGTTAAAAACCTTACTTTCGACTTGTATGAATTTTTTGAAATTATTTAATTTTTTGAAATCACTTTCCAGTTGAATGTGTTGGGTAAAACCAGAGTACCAAGAGAAAACCCCTTTCCAAATCAAAATCTACATTTTATCAATGCACTTCACATGGAATGTCAAGATTTTAAAAATCTGAGAAACCGAATAGTTCCTGGAATGAGCAAAGAAATCCATCATTAACTGGAAGAAACTTCTAGGAGAAGGATACTCAGTGTGGGACGGCCAAATGCCTTGACTGGTGGCTATTAAAACCTTGAGAAGAACCTGTAGAAGGCATTGGATTTTTTGGGTGACTTTATGAGCAGACCTTTGAAGGAAGACACAATAAAGTTTTCCAGTACTGGGTCTTCCAATTCCAATTGAATGAGAACGAATACAAAACTGGGCCACTTTTGGGAGACTTTTTTCAAAATGGTTTTGTCAAGGTGTCTCATCTTTTCTGGGGTGATCTCAAAATCTTCATCCTTGATTTCGCTCCATATATTTGCGAACAACCGCTCCACGATGGTGTTTGGGGATCTGAGAGTGTTCAACACCTTTGCTTTAGCAAAGATCCTCGAAACAAGCTTCTGAACGATAATCCTAATGTGAAATGTCTGTCCTTCCACTGTTGGATCTTGCTCCCTGCTGACTGGGCCCACTGATGCAACGTTTTCTAAAGTATGGGTTATCACCCTGGAAGTGAGACTTTCAGACTGTGTGTGAAGCCACCACCTCATTACTCCAAGGAAACACCACACTCTGGCAAGGATGTCAGCTGAAACAATCACACATGACGGACAAGCTGTGATGGTCTGCTTTGATCGTGAGGTAATCCTCATCCTTTCTATGTGAGCGTTGAGGATATCAATCAGCTCATTGATGTAAATGTGGGTTTTACCGCTGAAAATATCATCTAACCATTTTGACCCATTCTGCCCCCGCTGAATCTCACTAACTGCTGTTGGAAGCAGAGTGTCAACATCCATCATGACAGACCGCAGTGACATTGACAGCCTGTTTTCAACTCCGGGGCTGTCAAAGTACATGTTATTCAGTTTCCCCACAATATAACAAATGTACTCTTGGGCAAACTGCTTTGCAATGCATGTCTTAATTCTTCCAGACACTTTTTTCATCAAGGGTGAGCTCTGGTCTGTTTCTGGATTATTTTTGTCTTGCAAGATCATGATTTCATCAACAATCATCTCAGCAACGTCATCTGCAACATTCTTAATCTCTAGACTGGAGCCAGATTCCATCTGTTCATAATCATAGTCTGATGTTTCATTGGAAGAAGGTTTTTTGAATTGAGAGACTTCCTTCGTAATGGTCTCCTGGACAGTTTTAGATGTTGCAGACATAAGACTTTCCCTGTCTGACATTGTCTTCTGGAGTGGTGACTGACAGGAGTCACGACTGTCATCTTCATTGTCCAGTTGTTGGTCGACCTTCCTTTTGCTCTTACAAGGTGTACACAGATTTTTCAGATTTCTCATGAGTCCTCTGATCATTTGGCCGGCCTGATGAATCATACCTTGGAGTCTATTTGGGGCTGTGACACGAGGAGCTGTTGTGTTCACACTGTCCACATCCGTGGAAAGGACAGAGTTGACACACTCTGTAATCTCTTTAGCAGTCAACTGTGTCAAGAGCTCTGAACTGACAGATTTGACCTCATCTGGAACGCCAAGAGCCTGAGCAAAAGCCTGAGGAAGTGTGTTGCCCAAAGAGGAAAACACACTTTCCTCAGACACAGGAACAGATGTGTTCTGAAGATCCTTCACCGTGGATTGTGTCAATAAAATGACAATTTCCAGCAGTTTCTCACCCAGTAAAGTTGTTGTGGCCTCATCAGGTTTACCTGATTTCAAAAGATTCCATTGCTCTGGTGTTATCTCTTTAAAAAAGGGCGTCACAATGGGTAGAATACTGTCCAGGTCCATCTTTCTGTTTCTGATATAAAACACTCTGTTTTCCCAGTACTACATCCAATATACAGCGATCAACTAGAAGATATTAGAGATGAGATTATAGCACACTCCATAAAGAACAAACATCAAAGATAAAATTCACATCAAAAAAGAATACACACACCAAAAAGACCAAAGATAAAACACACCAAAAAGAACACACGGATCAAAGATAACATACGCATTGAAGACAACTATAGATTTAGTCTGACATCATAGCACCAGGCTTTCCAACAAACCACGCCCCCAAATATTGGCTGTCGCTTTTACTAGGCAACGGTAGCTACCTTGGGAAGCCATGGGTTTTCAGTTGTAAAAACAGTTTTGTTCAGGAGTTTGTTTGTGTAAAATAAGTTATAATCTTGTTGGTTGTTGGTTATTTTGCTGACTTTTTTAAAATCGAAATATAAACTAAAACATGAATAAATTAACTTGTTGAGTGTCAAACAATGAAACATTTTCATGTAGAAAAGAGAGACATTGGGGTTTTATGACAATAAATGTATGCATACGTATATACATCTGTATATTCCTAAATCTTTTGGTATAGAAGAGACTAAGGGTTTAAAGGTTCAGTGTGTAGAATTTAGTGATATCTGGAGGGGAAGTTTTTATAGTTTAGCTGAATACCCCTCAAGAAAACCACAATTCATACAATTTAGATGAAACACACTAGTGTAAACATCCCGAAAATTATTTTATATTCAATTTCTGCCAATAGATCCCTTTCATCTAAATCGTACACACTGGACCTTTAATGGATTTATGGATAATTTAAACATTGCCCCATTTGCACTGCACTGTGTCTATGTTGGCATTTTTATATAACAAAAGATTAAAGCAAGCCGCTTGCTAGTGATAAATTAAAAGCTGGTTTTGTTGGCTAACAGACAGCGTCATATAAAATCTAACAAAATCAATCAAAACATCAGATAAAAAGTCACTTTACACTTTTAAGCACATTTATTTCAAGTGTTGTTTCACACTTATACACGATTTTGTTTTTTTGTTTTTATCTTGAAAACACCTGCGTCATTTTTGATCAGGCACCTGCACCGGGCTCCTGTGATTATGTCACTGGGTCCTGGGGGTGTGGTGACTTTCAGCAGCTGAGAGCAAATCGCGGCTCCTTCGCTTCACGCACTTTAATGGATCACCTGACGCGTTGAGTCGTATTTCACTCATTTCAACCATGAATTTCGTCAGGTCGCGGCTTTCCATCACCAAACTATTAGGTTCGTATCGTTTGCTTTGAGTTCTTGTGGTGTTTCCGGATTGTTACTCGCTAAGTGTATCGCTAAATTAGCAGAGGAAGCTAACAACCCGACATTATACAACTCCTGCATTAAAAGAACCTGTTCTTTAGTTGTTCTACCATGTTTCTCACGTGGATACACCTAATGACGAACACAGTTCCTGTATTGTGACATTTGTAAAACACCGTGTCACTGCAACACTGAACAAATTGACACACCTCCACATTGTTATTAAAATTAGCAGCACACTTCTTATCTTCTGTGTACTTTATCCATTTACTTGTATATGTATTTGTGTATGTTATACACCATTACGTGTGTGGATTAATGTTTGGGCATAACATTTCATGGTTATCCGCAGCTTCATTTATAATTCCATCCGGGATATTTAGTGCTTTTTACTGTTTCGTGAATATTATACTGACAGAAGATTGTAGTCAGCTGGTTAATGTCAAAATAATCCGACAATAGAATAATCATCTAAATCAGTGAATCGTTTCTTTGATTTCAGCAACTGATGTGAGAATTTGATGATGCATCATAAACAGATGTTTATATCTGCACTAAAAGTTTGAAGAAGGTCACTTGGTTCTCAGGATATAATGTTTTCTATATAAAAAGGATTGGGCTGATAAATGAAGTGCCGATCAATCTTCCAGGTGATGAAAAAGCATTGTTTGTGGCAGACCTTCAGCACATTATTATTATTTGATTTAAACAGGTCAGCGATGCAGACACGTCACAGAAACATGGAGCCACAGAGGGATGTGCAATAAACCACAGGAGGTGAAAACAGAGCCTCTGCCTGCAGCCCCAGCAGAAGGTACTGCTCTGGATCCAGTTCAACCACAGATATTCACCACCATCCATTTGCTCTTAATCTCTAATACAATTGTAAATCACATAAACACAGAAATTATCAATATAAATGGAAAACTGAGCTCAAATCACTGTGGTTTGAAAGGACTACTTAAATTAAGCTTGTCAAAATGATCATAGATAAAACACTACCATGTTCATTTGTAGATTACTTTATAAACATTACAGGTCATGTAGCAAGTGTGTGAACGGCGCAATGGATGGAGGGACAAAGGAAGTGGGGTCAGAGTCTGGAGTGTTGGATCTAATGACGGGGGCTTGTGAAACTGAATGTTTCTCTTTTCTCTTCACAACGTGGGAGTCCAAATATGTTTGGACTTCCGCTCTGTTTATTTGTTCTGTTGATCGCGTGCTTTGTTCTGTCGTACAGCATCTCGTCCTGCGTTCAGAATCCCAGGCTCCAGACCCTCAGAGATGGACAAGAAATTTTTGATCTGGTCAGGACGTTTTAAGACCCCAGACCAGATACCAGAGCTTGTGTCGTAAGTAACCTCTTCCTGTTTATACCAGACCTCCCAGCACACATGAATGCGATTGGCTCGGTGTGTGATTAAGTTAAATGACTGAGATAACTAGATGAGCAGCATTGAGACTGCTGTAGTTCAAACATGGGGTTTGTTTGTGGCTGGAGGTAATTAGTGACCCAGGGTAGGGATGATATCTGATGTGGTGCTTTGATAAAAGACCTGATTGTCACGCATACAAACTGCAGACCACCTCCTCTACACACGATGAACATTATACATGTTGACAGCTGAAAAGGGAACACACGCGTCACTTTTAATGATATGCGTGTGTGCCGAGATGAAAAGCATTGCAAAACATATCAACAAAGCATTGACATGTTCCAAATGTTTTTGTCATGTATAAAACTGTGTTATGATATAAAATTATATTCAAATTTTAAATGACGCATCTATTAATGCTCATTTTGACGTCATTTTTCATGAGGTACAATGTTTATATTTGACTCCCAAAATGTATTCAAAAAGCCCTAATATTTTTTTATTTTTTTATTCATCTGCCTGTACCTCAGATATGAGATGATCGATGCTGCCCGAAACAAAGTCAGAGTGAAAATGTGCTATCTGATGATGGCGACCACAATATTGGCGTGTCTGTTCTCGGTGATCCTGGGCAAGCGGGTGAGTTGACAGTAGAGGAGTGCATTGTTTGCATGATTCTCCAGTATCTGTTTTGAGAAAGAGCAGTATTGGTCCCAGGTGTTAGCTTTGACTTTGTTGTCTTATGAATGAACAGTTTTACATTCAAAAATTTTTTGCAGGCGGCCGGACGGCAGGAGTCCCTAACTGCTCAAAACATAGAGAAAAAAGCTCGGTGGAGGGAGGAACTCCACAAACAACAGGAAGCTGCTGCTTTGTCTGAGAAAGCTCAGTGAAGGAGAACTGTGTGTCCCTTCACAACTATGTTCCCTTCCTACTGTATGTCTCACAACGTCAATGCTCTCCACTCCGATTCCTTTGGAGAAATAGAGCAGCTAGAAGATATTGAAGCAGTCAATACTGAGTACTTTGAACAACCAGCAGATTGACTTTAAACAAACAACAATGGGTTATTTAATTGTTTTGAAACCCAGTGTGTGAATGTATCAAGGTTAAAAAGTGAAACCTGTTTTTCAGGATGCTACACTTATCATTATTTGTTGTGGTATCACTTATTTGTATTTGGAGAATGCAAACAATGATTTTCAGATTATAAATCAGTTGCACAAACCCAACACATATACCTCTCAAGCTCTCCAATAAAAATGCCTTAGATGTCCCTGTTTTTAAATTTGCCTCTAAGGAAGCAATATTGTTTTTATCCGCCTTGTAAAGACACTTCAGCCCTCAAGGGTTTTAAATGGTCTTCAGTTTTTTAAAGTGAACACCAACAAGCTGCTCATGCTTCAATGATCCACCTGGACAATCCTCTATCCTGTTCTGTCATTAATGTAATCAGGCTTATTTGTGAGATGTCTTTGTACATGGTGATCACCAAGATAATTCAGTTAAATAAAGTATTGCTCATTGAATATGTGAATCTGATTTAATGACCTGATCTTGTTCTGCTTCGTCTAAACGTAAATCTAAAGCTGAAGGTTTTCATTCAAACAGAAATTATTGAGAATATGACCTGTATTTTTCAGCATGGTGCGGTTCAAGAGGTGCAGAGGCTTCACCCAGTGTGTCCTAATGTTAAAATAACAGCATCAAAATGAGTTTGATGGTTCACTGACTTTGAATAAGGAGAATGTTGCCGCTTTGCTTCCCACTCCCCACCCTGAACGTCTGTTCTTGCTTTATGTAACTTTGGAGAGTTAGTAGGATCTCCTTAAAGTGTGGAGCTTATTGAGATTGGCACAATTGGGAACAGCAAGTTCAAAAGTAATGCTGAACTGTCAAACAGTTTCTCTGCAATGTTCAGCAAAGACACTTTAGAAATATGAATAATCCTAAGTCTGAGTTTATTGTATGTTACAGCTGCAGCTCCTCTAGTTCAAGATGTCAGGGATCATGGGTAACATCCACCGCTCAGTTGTGTTTCAGTTGGACTACATAGTCAGAGATTGATAGGCTGTTTTTTCTCGACATAAAAAACACTTAATAGCCTGAAACGGAGCCGAGCAGAATTTATCACCCCTCATGGCTGCACAGGGCGACGTTTCTCAGTGAAATATACATCTATTTTTGTTGTTGTAAATAACGAACCTGTATTTGCTGCCTTATGTGAGTTTCTGTATTGTATGCCAATTTTGAACCAAAACTATAATTGGCTTATCATATTTTTCAGTGGGTGAAAGTTCTTCCATTAGTCTTATGGTCATAAATGGATCAACAAATACTGTGTCCCACTACAGGGAAACTACTTCACTTACACTGTGGTTCATGAAACAGCTTTTATGCAAATGGCATAACAGGGGATAGGTGCACAAACTCAATACAACAAACAGTAATGAACATGTAGAGCTGGTCATCTCTTACAGAGATTAATGACAAAAGTAAGCAATGTAAAGAGGACTTGGTAAACAAACATTCAGTTTAGCTAACTAAGATGATCACCAGTCTTTTCAAGTTTTAATCTGGATTTTTGTTGTAATTATCTGGAAGGATTTCTGTAAAGATTATGGCACCATCAGCAACATGACAGACCTAAAACCTAAACATCCAATTTTCTGAAAAGAAACCACATAATAAAGTTCTTGTAGCTTTGCTGAGGCAGTATGATCTACTGTTTGTATTTAGTGTACAGTTTGAGTCCATAATTTGCTTAAGTCCCTTGTGTGAAAAGTAAAGAGTGAAGAACATTGTAATCCTTGTCATTACCAGAGGGGGACCAAGGATACAGATCACACCTCTCTACACCCAACTTCCTAAGGAGGGAAGAGCGGCCTTATCAACCAATTAAATAGTTAATGTAAAAACTACGGTCTTTTCTCAATGAGGCATCAGTCCTGAACTAAAGTGCTGCAAATTAAATGAAATTATTGTAAGATAATAAAAATTCCCGCTGGTTTGCTGCTGGACAGAATCCAGGGTTAAATAGTCTGTTTTGTCTTGTCCAAGTCTGTCCAATTGTCTCAGTGCGAGGGAAGACTCCAATACCCATGGTTCCATGGGGTTATTCATTTCACACCGGAGGCAGTCTTAAATCTTCAGGGATGGAGCCTGTGCAGGTGAAAAAGTCCCATTACTGGATAAAGGAATGTATGATATGAGATCCAGGATGGAACACAAGCAGCCTGGTGTGTCACCGACAAGCTCCACCCCTCAGCAACACAGTCAAGTTCCTGATTTGTCCATCTGTTGTCACTTATCCAATGGCCGGAAAAAGAAGCCGAGGGAATTCAACTCCATTTGTTTTATGTCGTGTTAGTGCCTTTCGTCAGTTCGGTCTTAGGGGTTGGGGACTGGCCACGTGGCCCTGCTGTGGGCAGTTCAGCCCAGTGACCACAGCTTAACATGTGGTCAACGTCTCACGGTCAGTCCAGTGTTTAGGTTAGATCATTCTTCTGTGTGGGTGTGTGGGACTTAAAAATCACGTCCATGTTTGTCTGTCTTGTGAGTCATTTATGCTTAAATCAGACAAGCAGAGCAGTCCTAAATCTCCCACTAACTCAGAGATGGGAGTCGCCAATCCCACGGGAGGGCGGAGAGAGGTGCTTATCATTTGGGATGAGCTGAGGAGGAAATTCAAAAAGAATTGAAGAGGGACGTATAACAGGGGAAAAGTGCTAATACACGATGCTGGGGCCTGAGCAGGTTGGAGGGACTCGGGCACAGAGATGAGCTCAGCGTGACACTGAATTTTGAATGAAACCTTCACTAACTGGCTGACAAGACGGTAGAACTCAAGCCACACTGGACGTATGTGCACACACACGTGCTCCTGTGATGTTAACAATTTTTCAAAATCATGACAATGATTGAAAATTGATCGTTGAGGGTCGTCGTCGCCCTTGATCATGGCAGTGGGCAGAGAGCGAGAGAAATGAGCAGAGGTGAGGATGAAGGTGGAGCACAGGAGGAGAGGGAGGATCTAGCATTATAGCTGGAAACCCTCCATCGGGGCCTCGCACTGCTGGAAGAGAAACTGCTGCTGCTGCAGGTCGACGGCTGGTGCCAGAGACGGGTCCTCATCGTCGGTGTTGAAGTAGCGCTCGATCAGGTCGAAGGCTTTCTGGTAGATTTCCTGGTTCTCGTGGCCCTGCAGGAACTCCAGCTTGTCCAGACCTGAGGAGAACAGAGGGATGTCATGAACGTTCTTTGGTTTCAGCTATTTAAAAAGAAGATTTTCTGTTTTCATATTACTCTAAATTGAATGTTTTGGGTTTCCAAAAACACCTAAAGCTCTGAGGATTTTTTAAATTATTATTTAACATGGACACCTACCGTAGGCCTCCTCGATGAGTGCACAGTAGGGGTTGATGCCTCCACCTCTCTTGGCCTCCAGCTCACCCAGTCGCAAGATGTTCTCCAGACCGTTCAGAGCCACCTGAACTATTTTGGAGTCCATAAGTGTGAGCAGGTCACACAGAGGTTTAATGCAGCCCAGCTCCACCAAGTGCCTGCAGGGGGCAGTACACAAAGACACAAGAGTACATAAGACAAATATGATAAGCAGTAGACACATCCTGCAACAATGGCTAAAAATACACCACAGCCACTACTTCAGCTGAGAGAAGGCCTATCCAAGCTACCATTTTAGAGGATGATGGAAACAAGAGTTGAATGTTTGAGCTTCAATTAACAACCACTAGTTTAGCCTCTGAATAAATTCTGAAAGATTTAATATAAGATAATTTTAGGATTTTAACACAATTGACCTTTTTTGTGCAAAAGGAAAATATCATGTTTAAATATGAAAAGTATTGAAATGGTTGTACCTGATTTGCTCTGCAGAGCCCCCTGAGGTGGCGTTGGTAATGGCCCACGCTGCCTCTTTCCTTGTGCGAAACTCTGCTACTTGCAGGATAGTGATGAGAGGAGCCAGCAGACCTGAATTCATTACCAGCTACAGAGAGGGAATGAATAAAAGGAGCCTTTACATTAGGAGGAGCATGAGACAACATTTAAATCTCTGTGATTAAACAATTTCAAGGATAAGAAAAGCCACAGCGCACAAACACACAGACACACACACACACCTGTATTTGTGCTCGGTTCCCTGCAGTGATGTTGGAGATCGTCCAGCATGCTTCCTTCTTGATAGACTCCTTGGGGCTGCTCAGCAGGTGAAGTAGGGACTGCAGTGCTGAGCAGTTCAGGATCACCTACAAAACAACCCCCACTTATTACAGTCAAACTCAGAAAAATTCACCAGTAAGTATTCAGTTTCTGTGGACGTGTGGCTTTTACCTGTGTCTGTAGATCATCTCCAGTGACTATGTTCCCAACAGCTCGCAATGCAGGGGACACCACCTTATAATCAGAGTGCCTAAAATGAAGCAGATTTGTGATGCAAGATCACTAACATGTTCTTTCTGAAGTTTGATACTAATGACACAAAATAATTTACCCTAACGTTTCTGTATGTTGGCAATAATAGTTTTTTTTTTCAGAAGGAAATACTTTTTGAAGTGTCACACATCCTCTCCTGACAGACAGTTTGTCACTGCTGGTAATGAATTAGTCGAACTTGAATAATGTCAGGGAATAGTCTCAACACACCCACATCTGGAATGCCCTACCCAATGTAGTGATGACTGATGGTGCACATAAGAGATTTTGTTTCTCCAACAAAACTTAATTCTTACATCAGTAATTCCACCAGCCTGCGACAGACTCCCGAGTCAATAACAGCCTGGATTTTGTCATTGGGGCCATCAGATAGGTAGGAGAGCGCCCAGCAAGAGTCAGCCAGGATGTCTGTGTCATTGACGAACAACAGCCAAGATAGCACACTGAGACATGGGGAAACCTGGAAGAAAAAAAAGAAACGTGTTGGGCAGACACATGTTGGTGATAAGTTCAGTGGGTGCCACTGTTTCCCAGTGTAGATATACAGAAAGCCACTTGTGACCTCTGAAAAGGAGATATGGCATATAGAGGTGTGCTGTTACCATAGAGGCATGTTTATCTTGGCAAATTACCTTAGCAAAGTCTGGAGGTGGGTTTTTTCCTCTACACAGGTTTGAGAGCGCCCACACTGCGTTCCTCATCATCGTTAGACGATTCTGTTTGGCCAATAACCTGCAAGAGTTATATAAAGCATATTTTCTAAAGGGCACAGAATTTAAGATGCTCTGTATTTGTAAATGTTACATGATTTAAAATGGAGACAATTTGTCGCTGAGCTGCTACTTACTGCACCAGGGATGGAAGAATGTTGCAGTCTATGACAAAGTCTCTGCATTCTGTGCTGTCTCCTGCTATGTTTCCCAAGGCCCACACTGCCTGAGGGGGTAAGCCATTATTTCAGTTATACACACTTAATATCACTAGGGATATAAAAATGTTTTCAATCACCACTATGTTTTATTCATTTAAAAGAGCCAAGCAGGATATTTATAGCAAAACTGGCACATTAATATGGAGAAACATCACAAGAGACATTTTAGTGACTGTCAGTGAAAACTTCTTACTTGTTCCTGTACGTCTTCAAAGTCCGAGCTGAGCATCTCTATGAATATGGGCACAGCTCCAGCCTGGATTACCACCCGTGTCTGGTGCGATGTACCTGACGCTATGTTGGTCAACACCCACGCAGCTTCAAACTAAAACAATATCAAACAATCAAAATATAGAAATGTATTGATTTATTAACGTGCGTTGGTCACTCAGGTAAGATATCTGTGAAAATTAGACAGAGTACAAGTTGTTTGAAAATGTATGGTCAGGACAGTGAGAACACAACATTACATTACTAAGATTTAATGAAAGTACCTGCAGCGTGCAGTTTTCTCTCCTCCTCAAGAACTCAACAAAGCACTCCACCACCCCTGGAGTGGCAATGACTTCGTTAATGGGTGGGTTAGGTTCTGTGTGTAAAGATTGAGAATACAGCAAAAATTAGCTCTGCAATATTGGCATTAAATTGTCATCCCGCATTATTAAGAAACACCGAGATAATTGACAGAGGTTAAAATGATTAATCTTACCTTTAGAAAGGAGTTTTCTAAAGCGCTGAGTGCCTATTAGCTGCTGTTCTGGGGAACTGGAGAAGATCATTTGAGTCATATCCTCAGAGATCGCCCCACCCTGTGCAGCATTGGAGGTAAAGATTTGACAAATGTCACATCTGACTTTATGCTAAAACTAAGTATGAAAAAAAACCTATATTTAATATCATTATTTCCTTCTCACCATGAGTGGGTCCATGTTGTTGGCCTGGGACTCCAGGTAGCCGCTATCAGCCATTCCATCATCCTCCAGGTTGCCATCATCCTCCACTGTGGCGACATTCCTCCTCTTAAACAGCTGGAACACAATAGTTTTAAACTAAATTACTTTGGCCTTCTCTAGATCTGCTCTTCCTCACCACTGTGATATAAAATAATAAATTATATTGGATTCAATGTGAATGTAGCGTGTCTACAGAGGTCATGAGCAGCTGAGTAGATCATCCTTCATATGTGGACACAGGACACATCTGCATTTACACAGTGAAAAGAAAGTAGCAGACCTCTGGGCTCACATGTTCTTAGCGATGACCACAGATGTTAATACCAGATCAGTTTCATGTTGGTATGCGGTAATAAATCCTTTATTGTGTATAATTTGCGTTAAGAAGACGTAAATAACTTTGTCTGAACTTTGCTCACCTGTTCATCCTTCTTCTGTTTGCGGAGCTGTAGTCCTTCCTCTTCCCTCCTTCTCCTCATCTCATCTGTGTTGAGAGACTTGTTCTTGTAGCTCTTGAGTCGTGCATTGTCCTTACCCTGATTCATTGTGCAGCCTGGGAACATGCAGGGATACGAGTGTAAATAATACGTGGGCACATTCTTCTTTTAAAAACAGGTCTGGAGAAAAATATTGTGACTAAACAATTGGGAGCTGGGCACTGTGATGAGATGGTGACCTCTTGTATTGCACCAGTTGTATAACAATGCATGAATGTATCTTCAACCTAGATACATTGCAGTTAGCTGTCAGGATGAAAGCTGTGAGCAGCAAGTGTTCAGGAGGATTATAACACGATCATACACTAAGGACGCGACCTGGATGTGGAAACTCCATCTGTAGAATAATAAATAACGAAACAGGGGCTCGTTCCCACCATCAAACATTGTTAAACAAATGGGGGCATCTGAGGATACTAGCTAACCGGTTAGCTCTCTGTGTTTTCACACTGCGTAACACACAATCAACCAAACAAATCGTTATGTAACGATGCGGTGTGCCTCCCCTACTCATCACAAAAGCACAGAACAATATTAAATGGAAAGGAAGGCTACATTAAGACAACTAGCTAACGTCATAGCCGTTGATAAGACGAGCTGTTGCCAAAAGCTAGCTAGCTGGCTAACGGTTGCTAGCTGAATTAGCTGACGTTAGCTCTGAAAAGCAGCGTTAACGTTAGCTCACGCGACAGCCCGGTGTTTATCAAACGTAGCCGACATGACGGATTTAACCAGGTTGTTAAAACGAAGCGTTACCGGACACAGACAGAAACATGGAGTGTTATTATCCCACCTGTCAGATCGGGCTCAGTAATCCCTGCTTCTCTAGGCCACCGTCTGCACAGCCGTCGCCGGTACGCTACTGCGCATGCGTGAAATCCAGCCCTCGATCCCCCCGCCCCCCCCCTCACCCATCCACCCACGCGACTTTTCTGAAAAGAAACAAAAAACTAGAACGTGCAAAAAAAAAAAAAAGTAAATATGTCCTCGAGCCGAGCGGAGGTTAAAGGCGACAGAGGGCGAGTCCACAGCCCGACAGGTCCATCAAAGAGCCGCGGAGAGGTCAGGCTGCGTCCCCCTGGTTTGATCTGGAGCTCAGACGTCCCGGCGCCAACGATCGTTAGTGTGGACTCATGGTTCCAGTGCCCAGATGCATGGACAACAGAAGACAATACACAATAACAACACGAACACACACGCACACGCACACATACAACAACAACGAAAAATTATTACAGTAATAATGATGAAGATGATAAGAATAGTAACAAAAATGATGCTATTACCACTTAATAATAACAATAATCACCTTCATTATCAATTTTCTTTTCACAATTTTCAAAGACAGACAAGAAACACAATGATAATGATGATAAAAGTAATAATAAAAATAAATAATTTAAAAAAAAGCACATTTTTTATTAATATGCTGATGATTAAAAACAGTGAAAACAGGAGACAATATAATGAAAACAACAATATTACTATTTATCACCGCACAATCTCACACACAATATTGTCCATATTCTTGAAAACAAATGTGACAAAAATTGTGGATCGGCAGCAAAGGTGATATGAGCAGCGAATCGTCAGAGAGGCATCTAATTTGGAAACACACACAATTATACATGTAAAGAAATATAGAAAGTGTAACTTTAAAAACAAATCAGCTTAATTCCTTCTTAAGGCTTAACAGTTGAGTCTTAAGAGTTCTTTTGTTATTGTGATAAGAGAGGTGGTGGTTGCAGGTGATGAATGACACCTCTGTCTGACCCTTACAGGTGCAATGTCTCCTTGTTGGATAAAACAGGCTTCTTTCTCTAATGTCACACTCCTCTGACATTGCCAATTCTTTCTCTACATTACAACACAACTCACTTATTTGTACTTTATTTCATTGTGCTTTTACCCTTTTAAAAGTTTTGAGAGCTGATAATAATATATATTTATCCATTCATCAGGAAAATATCAAATTTTTATTTGTTTTATTTCTATTTTTTCTGCTTGAACTCATATGCGGCCAATTTCCTTTTCGTCAACTTTGCCAAAGAGGTGCCATGATAAAATCTGTGGCAGTTATTGGTTTTGTTTTCATGCAGAAAAGTTCATATTATAGATGTGGTGATTTTCCAGAGGGTGATATTAATGTTAACACCAGTTAAATGACTCCTGACATGAAAGACGATCACCCAAATTGCAGACACCTGCCATCAATAGCCAACAGTGTTGCGCTTTAAAGCCAGTGTCAGAAGCCTACAAATAGAAGGAGGAGACGCACGGGCGCACAAACTTTGCGCGTGAGCTCTTTAAATATGACAACACTGCAGGGAGAGGTCCAGGGCTCCCTCTTCACTGACGGGGACGGCTTCGACATGTGGCACGACTACATGAACCTGGGCAGGCTCCTGGAGAGGCTGTGCGTCAGGCGTGAAGCGGAGCGCACGGACCGAGAGGGGCCACAGTTGGAACCGGTGGCACACTGGAGCCTCTTCCGAACCTTGTCCGATCCGCGGGAGGAGGACAACAAACTGTCCGCGGAGACGAGCTCGGCCAGCAGCTTGTCCGACACCAGCTGCGGCGCCAGCGTCTCCTCGGACCACTGTCGCTTCTGCAAGCAGAACGGGGAGTCTCCCAGGGTGTACCGGTCACACAGGCTGAAATCCAACGACGGCAAGGTCACCTGCCCCATCCTGCGCAAATACACCTGTCCCACCTGTGAGGCCACCGGGGACCAAGCACACACACGCCGGTACTGCCCGCAGACGCAGAGGAGGGGAGGTGGGAAGATGCTGTCCAGGTCCAGGTTCTGGTAGCTGGTGATGGACAGTGAAGGACTGATGACACTGAAGGGACTGTACATAATTACACGTTTGGATCATGTGTTCATGTGCACAGACTGTTGCAGGTGCAGCCTTTGGAAATGTGCAGTTTGGCTTGAGTCATGTTTGAGACTACAGCTGCCTTGTTTGGTATATATTTGGATTTAAATGTATGCAGTTTTTGTTATACAGGTAATCTATAAATGACTTGTCTTTAATCCTGCAAATAAAACTTGATTCCCATGAAGCCTTATTCAGTCGTATTTTATTATGAAATATCACCGTTAGAATGTAATACTATTTTGATGTACAGTTAAATATTGTGCTTTTTACTCAACACCATTTATCTGTCAACTTTGTACTTTACAAATACAGACAATATAAATATAATACACATATTACAATTATTATTATTTTACCAGCTACAACATTAAATTGAACCCTGTTGGAAGTCATGACATTCTTTCAATTTCATAACATTTTATAGACAAAACAAACATATTGCATGTTTTTACTTTTATTTGAGTATAAATACAGTAAAAGAGTGAAACTTTCTCATAGTTAAACATATATGTAGACTAAAGCTGTGAAGTGCTGTGACTGTGCAGACTTTCTTACATGTGTTATACAGACTATTCATCAGATGCACGTGTTTACTTGGTGATTCAGTTATTTGTAGGTGTGGATTTTGATGAGTGGGGAGGTGGGTGTCCTAAAAACTGAAGCTGTGGTCCAAAGAGAAAACAAATCTACAACAAAGAACCGTATAACGACCACACAGAGATGGAAAACAAAGCAACACAAAGCAAAATGCAAACGTTTGAGTTTTGGCTCCTGGGTGGGGTCTTCAATCTGTGCACATGCAAGTTATTACAGAATGTGTGAATGTTCACGATGACTGACTCAGTAATGAACATCTTATCTGCTCTTTTCTGTTGTTGTTTACTTTCAGGTTGAAGCGGTGTTTGTTTTCACCTGCGGACCCTACACCCACTGCCCTTGAGATGTCTCCCTCCTCCATGATGAATGATCTCCAGCTGGCAGTGGACAAACACTTTCATTGGCTGCTCATGAAAAGGGCTCTTACCTGGTCTCACCTGCCCGGCTGTGCTGATAAAGGCCCGTTACCAAACACGACCACTGGGACAAAGTCTGGCTTTTATAAATGATTAGAATTATGTATCACAGTTATACAGTGGGTTCAGTCGCATGAAAACAGAGGGCACCAGAGGGAAGTTTTATAATGTGGATGGTATCAGTTTCACACATGTACACGTGCTGAGGGGCCATAAAAGCTTCACAGTTACACAACCTGTTCTATACGATGAAATAAAAGCCCCTCCCTGAAAGCAGTCTTTGTGTTGCATTTCCACTGTTTTCATCCAGGAACGCACAATAACCGGGACGTCAGAGGCTTGGTGATTCATACTAATACTGGTAAAATTCTGCTTTGATGCTAGATTATCAACATGGTATTTCTAGAACTAGTTTCTCATATTATAATGTGTTTTAATTTCTAATACTTGTATTTTTAGACCAGTTATCCACAATGGCAAAACATAACGTCAGCCTTCTGATTGCGCTGGTCCTGGCACTGGTTTTCTTCATCATCACTCTGGTCTTTAATGCTCTGGCAGGGCCGGGAATATGTAAGTCTAACTCTTAATTTATACACAATACTTTGTCATATATAAATAAAGTATTTGTCATAGAACTAGAAATAATGTTGCATCTTTTGAGCTTTGATTATGTAAAAGTAATAACAGTGTTTGTGGTTCAGCTCTGAGATTTATCAGTTTTGAATTTGCGTCCCTTCAGATCCTTTTCTGCGGAGCACCGGTAACATTTCCGATGAGTTTGTGACCCAGATCACACCTTCAGGATGGACCTTTGCCATTTGGTCAATCATTTACACCTTCCTGGCTTTAGTGGTGCTTTACATCTTATCTGGCATCTGTAGGAAGTAAGAACCCACCTAAAGGAATTGTTTTCTACGAAACCAGCTTATTTTAGTTTCCCCACTCTGAATCTGGGGAATGTTGTGTACTCACTGTGATTTGTTTACCTGTGTGTGATTTATTTCTTCAGGAATGCATATGGTTACGTCTACTGCAGCCCTGCTGTTTTGCCACATGGGTTTTTCGTGGTTTGGTGTTTAAACCTGGGCTTGAACACAGGGTGGTTGTTCCTGTGGGACAGAAGGTGAGACGTTTGTTGTGTTTAAGAGACTCAGCAGAACATTTCTAACTGTAAATGTTGATTCTTGTTCAGGCTCATGGGATTCTTGGGCCTTTCCCAGCATGCTTAGGATGATGTTCAGATCACTTCTGAGTCCTTAGTCAATATAATCTGCACTTTATCTGCAGAATAATGGAGAAACACTGTGACTACTTCAAATGGATGTCATTCATATCTATATATCACATTGTGTGATTATTTTATCCTATGAGGACGGATCCTTTCTTTAAATGTTTGAAATGTTGTTTTGGGAGGGTTATGTTTTTTTTCTCATTGACATGAAGGTTTTACAGATTTTAATTTTGTACAAGGTAAATTTGTGATGCATAACTTGAAAAGAAGGACATCCACACAACAAATGAAAATATCAATAATAGCGCATTAAAACAAAAGGAGTTGTGCCGAAAAGTGCTTTACAATCATGGTAAAAAAAAAACAGCATGACCACAGATAAAAGATTAGATAAGAACAATGCTACAATAAAAATGTGATCTTTATTTTACTGGACAGCACCAAGATTGGAATGCTCAGACTTTGTGTTGTCCGGTTTAGCTGCAGATGATCACATGTAATGAAACGCATTGTCATCTCGGTCAAAGGTTGATGCCTGCTGCTCTAGTTGTCCTCATCCTGATCGCCTTGACCAACTACCTCGTAATATTCTTCTCCTGCTACGCCCTCCACAACTATGGAGCCTGGCTCAACAAGTACCACAAAGTCGACCTGTGGCTCCACCGTGTGTTGGTGAGAATGAGTTTCCTACCTGCTGCCTCCCACCACCATCCTTTCTGTAAACTCGATTCTCCTCATGTTCATCTTCTGAAACATCTCTTCTCTTTTCTCTACTGCAGATTCAAAACGGTGTCGCCACATATGCAACATGGACGACCATTGCGTCCCTGGTGAACCTGGCTGTGGTGCTGGATTATAATGCAAACATGTCCCAGACGGATGCTTCCACTGTGTCTCTCTCAGTTTTGACTGTGGTGTTATTTGTGTGGTGAGTGCAAAGGAGAGAAAAATCAAGTTGTACATTTAATGAATGAATTAATGAATATAAAAAAACACAAGTTAATGTGTTTGTCTCTCACAGGTTTATGCTGGAAAACTCTGTCCTGGACAAACATGTGAGGTTCATTCACACCATTTACCCTGTTGTGATCTGGGCACTGACCGGTGTGTTCATGGGAAACTACAATGCTGAGAATCCAACTCGCAACAATATCTTCATTGGTGAGGAATTAACAAAACAAATCCTAATCATTCTTAAACAACTAATATTCATTTTACCTGTTCAAATCATCTGTTTGTCTGCATTCAGTCTATAACAACAGCAGACGCATACTACACACACTAACACTTCCATCTGCTGCTTTTTCTTCACCACAGTCTCCCTGTTGGCTGTAGCGTGCGTCTTCTTCGTCACACGGGTGGGTTTGTTCGTCTGGAAGCAGATCAAACATCCACTTTACGAAGATTTCAACCCTGAGGCCATGTCTCCGATGGAAATCGCTGGGAAGCAGAAAATGATTTTTAAGTGACGATGCAGCTAAATATTTTCCTGATGTGTGGACTCAGTGTGGTTTCTGTATGAGCTGCACTTCTAAACGCTCTGTACATGTAGTAACTGATGACTTTTGTCTCGGAGACGCTGCAGACACAGGAGGAAGCTTCATGATATAAATGTGATATGAAATTATATTAACTATAACATATTTGTCGTCAAATTCATTTAACATCTCACCACAGATAAATATAAGGACTCTGATGTTACTTTTTTGTTCATGAATTGTATCTTTTGTTTTCTGCACTATTTAAAGAAATATCTTTTCCTCAATTTTAAGCCTTTATGAAATAATTTGGTGAAATTATAAATATTGCAACTGTTTAGATAAACAGTAATGTCATCGTACAGAAAACATCATAAGTTGAATGTCCTGACACTGCATATTACAAATCATGCTATCGTGTGCGGCCATATTCTGCCTCCGCTGCATGATAACTTACATGTTTACTGCTTATTGACTCTATACTTGCCTGACGCTTCCCCCAGATGCAGTATGTTTACATACTTTACTCCATCCTAAGCCTTGTAATAATGTTTCTGTTTTAACCTTTTTCATTCAAAGAACTTTGAGCTGCATTTTATACTAGAAAAGTTCTTGATAATTAAAGGTTATTATTCTTAGTAGTGTTATAAACTTAATCACTGTGCTACACAGCTTTCTGAAAAATAATGTTGAAAAACTACATAAATAATGTGATAAATACATTAAAAAACATTAAATACTTTTATACATGTGCTGAATGTATTTAATTAAATTAATGAAAACAACATAAACAGGACAATTGGGTTTTGAGCTCCTTTTTAAAGGTGTCTCACAGTCTACAAAAGTTTTATGAAAAGAAAATATGGTTTGGAGTCTGAATGGCCTCTGTGATAACTACAGTGATTACTACTGATTGATTATCACCACTGGCTCAGGAGGGTCAAAGGTCACGTTTGACCCTAACCCTTCCTTGAAAACATTCAAGGAATTTTGCTCGTTGAAAACAAAACATTGAGGTGGACCAATATAATAAAGTACCAGACTCTCTAGTGATTCAACTAATACAATTGTTACAATCTCTGCATTTTATTTTATTTATAAATGTAATCATGTATCATGATACAACTTTCTTCTTATATACATTTACATTAGTTAAATGTATTCTAATGTTATTCATTCAGAGGCCACATAAAGGAATAGTTTCATATTATGAAGTTTCGCTGTACAAATATTGACAGTTGCTCTTTTATGATCCACGGCAGTGACGCAGAAATGTATACGAGATAAGAGACACGCGATGCCATGAGTGGTCGTTATTCTTCCTCTTACACAACTAGTTTGTGTATAAAACCGGCAGTTCCAGTGCACAGTGCCTGCTGCTCCTCACTCTGATGACTGCGCTCCTACAGGGAGGAACAGAGAAAGGTACGTCTCCTTTGACTTTATCAAGTCTTAATCATGTTGTTAAGCTGTCAATGTTTTATTATCCTGGACAAATGCAGCCTATTGTTGCAGCACGTGATCCAGTCCAACATTATACAAGCATAGTTTTGTAACTTGATCCAATTCTGTCCTTGAAATTTGAACCTTAAAAATAACTGACTTCAAATCTCAGACCTTTTTAAAGGTTGTCCTGGTGATACGCTTCAGAGGGGGTTATAAGAGAAGGTATCTTACCGTAATTGTCTCTGCAGCCTATGAATGTGCTGAATAAGGTGATCATAATAAACAGGCTGCCCCTGAGGGAGGTCAGAGGTCAAGTTCAAACACAGGTCATCACCAGTGAAGTTGGATGGAATCAACATTAACTGTCTTTCTTCAGGATACTTCAGTACTTTTTTCTGTATTTTTCATCCTTTTCTCAAGCAAAACAATCCGAGTTGTAACAAATGTACCAAATGATTTGCCTATAAATAGAACAAGTCTTATATCATCTACAATGTCCTCTTCAACATGTTGCATATGCTCCTTGTGCAAACCAAAAATCTTGACGATGTTTATGTAATTTTCATTTATGACAGTGCTACAATGGCAAAACATGATTCTGGACGTCTTGCTGCAATAGTGGTTTCTGTTGTCGGCTATGGAATAAGCTTGGTGTTCAATGCACTCTCAGTAGTTGGGATCGGTGAGTCAATATCCAAAATCCTGTTTGTTTGATCCTGTTGGATCTTCTATTAATAACAAGTATTAGTTGAACATGAATTTTCTATATCCCTCCTGTAGGTCCTTATTATACCACCACAGCCAACGTGTCTGCTGTGTTTGACACTCAGATCACACCTTCAGGATGGACCTTCAACATCTGGAGCATCATCTATGTCTGGCTCACAGCCATGATCATCTACATCGTCTCCAGTCTTTGCAGAAAGTTGAGACCAACTCTTTAAACTTCTTTTAAACTTTAAAATAATGAAAACTCTTATATGATAATAGCAAGTGTGTGTCGTTCATATAGCAGATATATTTTGGTTTAAAAATGTATAAGTTATAGTCAGTTGATAGAAATTGAACAAGTGTCAGTACCTTTGACTAAACTGATGATAAATCACAGTTCTCATAGATTGAATGTTAAACTTTGTCTTGTTTTGTAGGAATGGTTATGGCTACGTTTACTGCAACCCTCCAGTGCTACCTTATGGATTCTTCATCAGCTGGTGCATCAATCTGTGTTTTAATATTGGCTGGCTGCTTGTGTGGGACAGAGGGTGAGGTTTCATATGGCTTCTCTGACTGTTCTCTGTGCATTAACCTTGTTGCAGTACACTTTGTAGGTTTATATATCAGACAGCAAAATTAACTATGTCTTCCTCCTGTTGTTTTTTGGCCATTATTAAAGAATAATGATCGCTGCACTGGTCTTTCTCATCCTGGTCATCTGCACAAACTACTCTATGATCTGCTTCATCTGTCATGGGCTTAATGTTTACGGACCCTGGATGAAGAAATACCACAGAGTCGACCTGTGGCTCATCCGTGTGTTGGTGAGTATAAAAAATGAAAAGTATTTTCATTATTAAGTGTAAACACTGAGGTTTTAAAAAGGTATATGCTAAGATTAATACGTCTATTTTGTTCATGCAAAGGTGATATAATGTGAACACAATAAAAAAGCACTAAACACAATGACAGATAAAGAAAAAACATTAATGGACAAGGTCCGTACTGAATATCGACAAGGCGGAGGAAATGCAGACAAAGTGTGTTTTATGATTTCTTGTCGTGATTTGCACTTTTGGGCCACCGCAAATTTGAGTGCACAGTGTTTTCTCATGATTAGACTCTATACATTGAAATAAAATTATTCACAGGTTCAAAATGGTGTGGCGATATACACAACATGGACAACCATTGCAACTCTGATCAACCTGGCCATTGTCCTGACGTATGAAGTGAAAATGTCTCCATCAGACGCTGCCACCATCTCATACTCTGTTTTATCTGTTTTGTTGCTCACATGGTAAGTTTTCTTCACCTGGACAACGCAAAACCTCAAGTGTTCATCAGTGAGATTCTGGAGTTAATGTACCAACGTTGGATTTTTCACAGGTTTGTTTTGGAAAACTTGGTCCTTGACAAACATGTGCGGTACATCCTCATCATCTACCCTGTGGTGATCTGGGCTCTTACTGGAAACCTGGACAAAAACTATGACGATGTGTCACCCGGACTCAATGGCATCTTTATTGGTAAGACACCGTAGAGAATATTTATATTATATGTAAAGAAAACAGGAAAAAACATCTATATACCACGTCAAAATGTTTGGTTGGGTTGTAAGAGTAAATAAACTCAATATAAAGGAAAATAATTTTAATACTTAGTACTTCCCTTTGACTATTTATTAAAGTAAATATACTTAAAGCACATTTGAGACAAATCTAACATTTAAGTACAATTTGTAATGTGAAACCCTAAACAAAAATGCATTTGGAGCTACTGTATGTAGCAAAAATGTTAGTGAGCACAAACATCAGTTAAAAAGTTGTCCTGACTGTATTTTGATCTTTCAGCTGTGCTGCTGGCCGTCGCCTCTGTGATGTTTGTCGTCAGGATTGTTTTGGTGGTTTGGAGACACATCAAACAGCCGCTCTACGAAGACGTCAGTGCAGATGCCATGGAGCCGATGGACATTGCCAAGAAGCAGAAGAAGATATTTCGCTAAAACATTTTATGTTTTGCATTTTTATTATAAAACACATCAATATTTCATGTCAAATATCATTGAAAATATATGTGCAGTTGTTTGACATTACATTGTTAATAATCGTGAGATTTTTCTAATTCTGATGTATTTTTAATCCATTTTTCATCACGTGTAGTAAGTTATAAAATGTAATATTATTGTTTTGAACTTTGGCTGACTGCTCTCTGGACCTTTTATGGCTCTTTTATGGCACACTGATTGCGAACATAAAACTCTGAGGTCGTAAGGAGATTCTTACAACACTATTACACTGCATGTGTCTACTGTAAAAGTATAAACATCATGGACGTTATCATCTATTCTTAGAATTTGCCGTTCCGTTCTGTTGTGTCGGGTGGAAAAGGTAAAAGTTAAATCTCAGTAAAGGAATAACTGGTTGAGGAGTTTCTGTGGAAAACAAATATTTTAAATGATTAATTTGTATCATTTGAAGGGATTTTATCCAACGTTTTGTAACCTCAGTATTTTAATAATAGCAGGATGATGTTTGTCCCTCTGTCATTTTTGTCATGACAAATATTCACCTGTAGGGGGCAGCAGCGGGAATCGCCCTTTTCGGTTGGAAAATAAAGTGTAGAAGAAAAATACTTTGCGCGTCTATGCCCACAGCATGATCTTGCAGGCATGCAGGGTTTGTCCCACAAGTAAATAAAAATAATTCCAATGGTTCATATTGTTTTATGCTTTAATCACACTCAACGTGTCTTCTGTTGTCGTTCAAATCCTGAGGGGGAAACTGCTGCTAAGCATGGTGAGTGGAATTAGTTAAACTCCAGCCTGACAGACTGCCTGACAGACCTGACGCGGGGAACAGCCCCAGCCACAGTAGAATGCGCGGGCCACATACAAATTGTAAACAGCGCCATTGTTGTGTTTGACCCTAATGTTAATAATCCAGCGAGGGAACAGCTTGTGACGCCGCGTTTATATGAGTGTGTACGTGTCTGTTGACGCGACTTCAACCGAAACAACAGGGGATGCTTAACAAAATAAACGACATGATAACTAGTTAGCTAGCTGCTAACTCCTCGCGCTGTGGGAAAACACTCGTGTAACGTGACCGTTGAGAAGACGACACGGCTGGCGACGGCAATGGCGAATAAATACCCCAGCCTGGTGAGTGAAGGACTTCTCTTTGTGTTCGTGTGCTGCTGCTGCTGCTGATGGAGAAGGGATGAGCTAACACGGACCGATAGCCAGGACTGAGAGAGAGAGGGGGGGCTGAGCAGCCAGGAAACAAACTACACTCCGTCACCTTGTCTTCTGTAGGAGTCCAAACAAACTTACCTCAGTGAAGATCACGAGGTCTTGTTATAAATGTTCCGTACAGATGCTGTGGTCTGTGATGTTGTTGCATTGTGTTACATCGACGGTCCATCCAAATGAGATATATTGCAGATGTCCTTCTACAATAGCTGTGGTTTTGTTATGGTGCCGAAGATGCAGAGGGAAGTTGTACATAGATTAGAATAGGGCTGTGTGCAAGTATAATGTTATCTCGTGATGAAGCTGAACACCCCCTCACCTCGCCCTCCCTAACAAACATGAGTCAGAACCTGTGGCAGCTTCAGTGGTCATAAAAACACTAACGGTGTTTGGTCTGTCCAGTTTGGATGACTGTAAAAAAACATGGCGGCCTCCATAGAGAGGACCCACTCCCAATGTAAATATAACATTTAAATCTACAGGGTTTATTCTAGAGTAAAGAAAACAACAATCCATACAACTTAAGATGAAACACACGAGTGAAAACATCACTTCCATGTTATTTCATATTCAATTTAATTTTAATAATAAATGAAATATAATTTTCATCAATATAACTTAAGTCTAATACAAAGCATAGTGATATATTGCTTAACTTAGAGTTGAATACTACAACCTTCATTCAGGAGCTGAAATTAGTCTTAATACCATAAATGAAAATGTTAATAATATGACATTTATTGTGATGATTATCAATATAGACTCATGAATTTTTTTTAGAGATGATAAAGTTAGAGGTAGTATTTCATTATATGTAACACTATATTTACCTGATCCGCAATGATGAGCTGTATCCCACGGTTAGAATTAAATTAATCTTGTTTTTTCCATCTTACATATTTATTTGTGTTTTTTCTAATACTGATTTGTGTTTTTTGGAATACATTACACAGCTTGAGTATATATCAGTGTGTCAATATGTGTAGATTATTCATATGTTGGTTATGTGACATTAATAGAAATATTTTTCCAACAAAGATTGTTTTATTAGATAATAAAGTACAGCCATTTTTGTATATTGTATTTGATAAAATGGAAAATAATGATTGGTTGGATTTTTTCAGTCTAATTTTTAAACTAACCAACATACATTTGTGAAAATGTAAAGCAAACTTTGTACCTACTGTCTGTTCACAGAGGCGACCAAAGAGGAAGCTCTGCTACCTTACAAACAAAGACAGGTACATTTGAACGTGTTAAATGTATTTCACAGAGAATTTCTGGTTAAAATACTCACAGTTTTCATTCATGTGCTGAGTGAGTTCTGCTTAATCCAGAAACTAGAGGCTTCAGAGGCTGTGCATCTAAAGATCGAAGTTTCAAATAGCGTTCTTCTTCTCAGCATTTGACTTCATGAAATGTTTGTTTTAACTTTGACATTTGTATTTTCAGTGGGTCTACAAAATGGACAGGAAGCATAACACTTGGAGATGTTGATAGGATGTTTGATGACTTAGGTGAGTTGTGTATGTGATTCAGTTGCTTTAATATTTCTCAGTCAGTTCTGCATGTTATTTTATTAACTTGTACTTTACAATTCTTTTCAGATTCATCCTCACATGATGATGGCCCGTTGTCATCGCCTCCTCTGCTCCAGACCACTGATCCCAGGACACAACACAGTGACGGAGCGGCTTCACCGGTCCCACAGGAGGGACACCAATCTAAAAAACTTCCACCACGTGAAAAGGTAAAATAAATGGTCAAAACGTAGTCCTGTCTGTGAGGTACTGGCCTCTGCTGGTCTCTGAATATATCTGACTTAATGATTGATTGAACACAGTTTTTGTTGGAGTTTTTGTTTAATAATTTAATTTAATTTAATTAGGGTCCTGAAGGAACTGTCCTTCCTGCAATGAGGTCAACCAGTCCTCAACGGGACATAGGTAAGACATTCAAAGTTGTACTTTGTCCATGAAATACTTAAATTCTGAATTGGACTTCATCTTAAACATGTTGAATATTTTTACTGTGAGTATGTGTATATTTTCTGCTTTGCAGACTCAGACATATTCAAACTGCATGAGCCAGTAAAGACATCCAGTCCTATTGAAGAAATTATAAATGTAGTGGATGTAGAAGAGGACAATGATGGAAAACAAGTTGTGTCTCCAATCCTCTTTGACTGTGAAGAGGAACGAAGAGAGGAGGCAAAGATACAGCTGCCAACCGTCCAAGAACCCCAGGTCAAAGGGCATGAAACCGAAATAATGTAAGAAATAAATAATGACAGTGTTGTTTGTATAAAGTGTGGTACTTTTGCATCTGCAGTGAAAGTCAAAACATTGTGAGCGTGCTTTTTCTCAATTATCTTGTTCAATAATCCTCTCATCCTCACAAGTGATGACTCTGATTTGGAGATGCCTCCAAGCAAGTTTGCTTTCAAAAGACCCACACTGTCCACTCACAAAAACAAGGTGGACGCGTCATGGTAAGGACTTTTTAATTTTCTACAGAATGATTAGTTTACTGCTAGCTCTTCATCAGTATCTGATGGACCAACTTACATGTGAATATTCATTTATTTACCTTTTTACTCTGCAGCAAAGACGGTCAACCAGTCACAGAAAAAACACAGGAGAAATCACACACAGCCGTTTTCGAGCGCAAAAGAAATACACAGAGGTAAGAAGTGGTGACTTTTGAAAATCTAGTTTTTTTGCACTTTTATCTGCCAACATACATACTGATAATGATATAATTATAAGACGATATCACAGACAATGTTTCTGCCACATATAGAGTTTGACAGAGTGGATTAAATAAATGTAATGCAGCTAGAAGTCACATTAATTATTTGATGCAGTGTAAAATATGTTGTGATATTTTTGAGCCGATTCTGATATTCTTTTTTCTTTTTTTATCAGACAAGGAAACACAGACAAGTCTGTTGCAGCAGTGACACAGGAGCCTGAACTTGCAACTTCTGACAAAAAGTCAACAAGTGTTCACAGTCAGTCTCTGGGTGAGATGTCCACTCGCGTGGGAAAAGACATGTCAGTGTTTCTACAGAAGCTCAGAGATGCTGGTCAGTCCAAACCTGCATGGTGAGTTGAGAGGAGAGTACAGAAATAACCTTTGTATCCCAAAAAAAGTTTATTAAAATTAATGTATAATTCAATATTCTTTTAGTGGCAGGAAGTCGCTGACACCGGTTAAAGTTCCTGCTCCTCCTCCCGAGCCAGAGGAAGATTTCCTGATTTTGGATGATGACGCACCTCTGTGGTTCACCATCCCAAGTAAAACTGCCACAAGTAAGAGACAGAAGCAGAGCAGAAGTGACAGCTCAGACAAAGACAGCTCAAAAGACAAGGCAGCAAAGGACAGTCCGCAGGAGACTGGACAAAAAGAGGTGGAATCAGAACAGACTGAACTTGGAATTCATCCGCTTGATCTGTCAACAAATAGGAAAAAAAGGTCACAGAAGAAGAATAAAGTGACCGAGCCTGGAAATGATAAGGATGAATTGACTACTCCTGAAGATCTTCCTGCAGGTGACTTGGTGGAACAAGAGAAACCAAATAAAAAGAAACGGCAACAACAACTCAAAAAGATTCCATCCAAAGAGAGTGACAAGGCAGATGAGGAACCTAAAGACACAGCCAGCAGGGAAACTGATAAAGAAAAACAGAAAACGGAAAATAAGAAAAGGTCAAAGTCTTCAAAAGATGGGAAAGAAACGGCCAAGACGAACACGGCTAAATTGTTAAAGCGGAACAGGAAAGTGATGCAGAGTTCTGAAGAAGTACAGGAGACAGCGATTGATGAGGCTGTGAAGGAACAAAGTGAAGATCACAACAATAAGAATCCTGGAGATGTGGAAGACTTGAGTTCTCTGTCAGGTAAAAGAATCTCCTACCATATTGTTGAAGTTAAAGATACCAATGTTTGAAATAAAGCTGGTGATGATTTCTAAGAAGTCATTTTTAAAATCTTATGACAAATGTATTGATGCTTGATATCTTACAGTTTAACCATAAACGTTATCATAGATAACCTTAGATAAAACCAATCTAACCAAATCTGTAGAACTTGAATTAAAATCATTGTATTTAAAAAAAAAATTGTAATGGTCCCCCCCGCTCCCTATATTTAAAATTGGTCTTAACAGTTCAATCACCCTGATAAACTTATATAAACAATTTTCTTCTGTTCTACAGACAAACAAATCATGAATTCTGATTCACAAACAGCAAAGGATTCAACAGATGGAGAGGCTAAACACAACAAACGGCCCGTTGTGACTGAGTCAAGTTCATCTGAAGAAAGTCAGAGTCTTGGGAAAAGGAAAAGAAAACCAATTGGACAGTGGTGGATGAGCTGTCCTCAGAGCACAGAGGAAACCAAGGTCACAGACAACCACCTTACACATAAGAGGTCCAAACAGCACAGCAAAGAGCCCAGCGCAGCAGAAGCTTCACCTGGAAAGACTAAGAAGGACAAAGTTTTAAAAAAAAGAAATCAGAAACGGCCGGTAACGTCGTTCAGACAGAGCACAGCTAAAGGTAAAGAAAAGAAAACCAGACAAAACAAAAACAGAGCTGCAGGAGGAGAAGCACCAAACAAAATGAGAGCGACAGACGAAGTGTTAAACACGACAGACACTGAGCAGATTGAAGAGCAGCAGGAGGAGAAGGAGGACGTCCTGGATCAGGACCTGGATTGTGGGCGGTCAAGCCCTATGGTCTTTCAAGAGAGAGACCTCAGTCAAAACTCAGGTAGGTCTTTAAAAAGTCTTTGGGTAAATCTGAGAGGTCGTGAAATGATTCACTGAAGAAGAAGAGTGAAGAAGAAAAACAAGTTCTGCTCCATTGATTGTTTTCATTTTGTTATTTTTATCTTTGGAACTAATAACATGTATACATCTCAAACATGACCCCAATCACCACAGCTCCTTTTTGATCATCACTGTGTAACAATATTCATCCAAACACTGAAGAGTAAATTAGCATAAAATATAAAGGTACTGGTACATATGTAGTGAAGCACAATATTTGATTGAATGCTTTAAGTTACATATCACATACCGCCTTTTCACTTTCAACTGAAATGTGTTTTCAGTTAGTTTTAAGGTTTATCTGAAACCTGTGTAGTTTTCTGAACAACCGTTAAATAATTAAAGATGTACTTTGAGGTGCTCTACAGGGCAGCAGGTATTTCAGAAAGTCTACCATAATGTCACTAATGAGAAAATGTCCGACACATCAGTGTCTGTCTCTCCCAGGGGACCTCAGGAGCATCTCAGGGCAGCAGATCCAGAGAAACGGAGGAGGAAACCTCCCAGTAACTGGTGGACGACGAATAGCATGTCTGAGGAGATGGAGAGCGGCTCCTCACATCCTCAGCAGCTTAAACCCAAGGAGTCCAAACCTCCTAATGAAAGAAAAAAACTTTCCAAACAGAAACCGAGCAGGTCTCCTGGACTTAGAACTCCCAAAAAAGGCAAAGTGGTGGTCACATCCAAAACACCAGGGGGAGCTGATGTGCCTCTAATGAAACCGAAGCCGATGTTCGCTCCAAAGACCGTCAAACACTCTCTGGCGACATTTAAAGACATTTTCACTTCGGTTTCAGAGACCCCGACTGTGGTCCGCAGCAGAGACACAGGTTACAATGACAGATGTGGTATCACTGCACAACCTGCAGATGTTTCTGTCACTGAGTGTGTTACAGTCAGTCAGACTGATAAAGACACACACAGCGTGGATGCTGGTGAATTCAGCAGCGCACAAAACAGCCCCCCCACCCACAATAGCCCACAGGACAGCAGGTGTCAGCCAGAGAACACGTAAGTAAAAGTTTAAATATAACATTTATGTCTTTTTGTCAATGTCTTTGTCAATACAATGTGTTTTTATTGTTTTTACTCTTTGCAGGTTAAAAGACCTGAGAAGTGGACCATCCTCTATGATTGAGCTTCAAGACTATGAGAACTGTGACGACTTGTGTATGTTTCAAAATATTCAATTTATTAAGTTAAACTGTATATTTCAGTAATACTTTTTAATTTTGCAACATTTTCTTCTTTAGATCGGATTATTCCAAAACGGAATAACAATTGTTAAAGTGTACAAATAACACATTCTGTCCAGGGGTTCCCTGATAATAGTTTTGGCCTGAATAGAACCCCCACTGAAAATAAAATGCAAATTATTGCCGATGAAATAACAAGTGTCAGGCTTTCTTGCAGTCTGTTACACATGTACTCTGGGCTACACAGTACAAGGCTGCAATCTTGTATACATAAGACTTTTTATTGCAGTCGCAATCATTGATTTTGTTGATGCTTAAATCCTTAATTTTTTATTCAACTTGTTTTATGTTGACTTTGTTCTAGCTCTGCAGCCATCCAGCGTCCCTGGTGCCCTCTCTGTGTCAGATCTCTGCGCTCCTCCTCTCAAACCGCTGATCTTGCAGCAGAAGGACAAGGCCGACCTGACGGAGTGGTTTAAGACTCTCTGGTCTTCCACTGTTGATGGTAAGAAAATACAAAATCCCCACGTTTGCACTGACTTTATGGACACATGAAATAAGCAGAAAAGCAATCAGCTGGTGTTTGAAGGATCAGGCTGTGACAGGGGGATTGTGTTTTCAAGAAACGAGGTGCTGTCAACGGTTTATAGAAATGGTTTGTCTTGAACCAACTAACCACTCAGCATGTACATTATTTGCACAGTTTATGAAGCCAAGCGGGTTTAGGTTTACTCCCAGCACAAGTTTAAACTCTATTTGTATTATATTTAAAGTGTGTTGTATTATACGCCTTCTATATTCTGTCAGGACGAGTTTTCAGAGTTGTCCGAGAAGCACAACACTGGATGTAGTCACTGAGCGTGACTGAGCAATAATCCTCCCACCATTCTGTTAATTAAAAAGTAAAATGAAACCTGTAAGAGAAATCTATGGAACCGGGAAGAGGCGTCTCATTGCATCAATACATCATTTTAAAAGTGTTTTCATGTATTGTGCCTTGTATATAAAACAGACAATTTATTTCTCATAAAATCATTAAGTGATTATAAAGAAAGCTATAAAACATGGAATTATTGGTGTAATGTGATCACAGATGATGGTGAGATCACTCCGGATCACTTTGACTGGTACTTCTACAAAGGCAGAGTTTGTGGCTTCCAGGTGGATTTGAACAGTGGCTCCATCTGTAATGGAAAGATTCTGCTGGGCTCCTACATGAAGAAACCTCTGTGGGTGGATCACAGCGCCACCACGGTCAGTTAACTCATTCTCTCTTCCTTCTCTCACATTAAATTATGATCCGATCTCCCTCCCTGTCGTCGAATACACCAAAAATCTTAAAAAACTTTTACTTTCCCATATTCACGTAATTTTTCTATTGGTTTCTTTAAAGGTTTTTAACATATTAACGAGCTCTGTTGCTGTAATCATTGATGGCAAGAAGTCACAACTCAACCCAGGACAAGCATTCATGGTGCAGAGTGGTAAGAAAATATCACATAAAATAAATGCTTAAGGAAAATGTTTAATTTTATATTTCCTCTGGGAAACTTGGGAAATCATTGACCACAAATCTACCAAAAATCTTTTCGCGTAATTTTACAGACTTTATGTTTACATATGGAAAACTAATCGTCTTATTGTAAATGTCTGTTCCGTTCACACAGGACACGCCTACAGCATCCACAATGTCACGGCTCAGCCCGCAGTTCTCTACTTCACCAGGATATTAGCAGAAAGTTCAGAGTGAAGTTGGCAGCTGGATTAAAATCCACTCACATATTCCTATCCAATGACCAGACGCTTTCGGAGGTTAAAACCAGACTGGAGCTGTGGGACGTTTCTTTGTATTTTCATTTACTCACATTCCGTATTGAAAATTGAAAAGATGTAAATAGGAAAAAAAATTGCTGTAATTTTGTTCTTAAAGTTAGATATGCTCCAAGCATTTGATAAAACACATTGAAAATGATTTGTAAATAAAATCTTAGTGCTTTTTGTTACCTTGAGTTTTATTTGGCCATTTCTCCATGATTGTGCATTTCATGTTTTTAGCCTCTAGGGGTCAGTGTACAGCTGCAGTCTCATTGTTTGGATATGGTTTTAGTCAGGATGCAAAACAAGATCTGTCTGTTTGGGTTTTAAAAAAACTTTGTGTTAATGACTAAATATCATATAAAATCTTATGTTTGTGACTGTCAACACTTTGTCATTTCTACCATTAGAGTTTTACATGCATCACCCAGAACTCTATTATTTATCTACTTAATAACAAAAACAACATTTTCAGTTTACAAAATAAGGATCAAGATGATTCTCTGGAAATTAAAGTACCGGCCCATACAACAGTGCAAAAAAAATATGGATATAATTAGCTGTAGTAGGTTAGGAGAAGGATTTATTGGTGGACACACTTCCATTTTTGTTATTTCTTTACATTAAAAAAATCTATTTTTTCTTTCCAGTAACGTTTTTCATTGATTTTAACTCAAAAATTCTTCCTGTACAGTTTCCATTATGTACATTTGTTCTCCAGATTGATATAAAGTTACCATGACCTTTGACCTTTCACCACTGAAATCTAATCAGTTTATCTTTAAGTCAAAGTGACAACTGGTCAAAATTCACTAGAGTCAGACTTGAGATATTACGTTCAAGGTCACAGAACTTTGACCACCTAACTTCCTGCTTGAGGCAGACGTCATGTTTGCACAAACTTTTGTGTTTCTGAGATTGTATCTTCACAAGACCAAAAACGTTTGTCAGGTCACAGTGAGCTTTGACTGGAAGAGTTCCTGAGATATCGTATTCACAAGGCAATGTGCCTTATGAGGTAAAAGCGCCATTGACCTTTGAGCATCAACACTTAATTAGTTTATCCTTGAGTCCCACTGAACTTTTGTACGAAATCTGAACAAACACCCTCAAGGTGATCTTCGGATATCGTGTTCACGGATGTCACAAAAACATGGCTTGAAAAGAAAGTAAGAGTGTGAATGTAAATGAAGACGTTTCTCTGATCTCTGGTGCTGACGACACTTTGCAGAGAGGCAACACTGTCTCTGAAGGTTACATGTAAACTCTTGTAAGTCCCTGTTAGTGTCGTTCAGTCGACAGAACTCTTAATTTAATCCGTGATGAGCAGCAGTTTTGTCTGTTACACTTGGAGCTGACAAACCAGAAACGGTGACGTTCCCATGGCGACTCAAACGTAGCCGGTGTTCTGTCATGAAACATTCACTGACCCACTTCATGAAGGCTGAATTATGTTTCTGTAAGTGGATCTGTTGTAATTTCTCTCAGACCACACCACTTAATACATAACACACTGATACCAACATGAAACCTGAACCCTGATGTTGCAACAAGCTCATTAAGCTATAACGTAATAATGTAATATATGATGTGCGAAGATCCTTCCAATAAAATTATCTGTCTCCTTCTGGATGCTGTAAAATATCCATCTCTCCCTGATGGAGGCCCCAGAATTAAGCTAATCAACATACATGACTTGGATACAAAACAAAGGACTACAGTGAGTCCCCTCCTCCTCCGCCGCAGAGCTTTTATGGAGCCTGTCACTTTGATAATTCATCACTTCTGAATGTCTGGTCTTGCCGTGCTGCAGCAGTCTGACTCGCCTCAGGGCAGGATCTCCTTCAGAGAGGAGGATGCTGCAGCGAGCGCCATGAGCGTGCACTGCCTCGGCCGCCCAGCTCTCTAATTATAAACCCTGCCGATGACCAGACATGTCGCTTGTGACACGTCGGTGTAAAATTGCAGTGTGTAAATGTCGCCCTATTTTGCGACATTAAAAAAAGGGGATTAAACATTCCTAGATCCGTTTCTTTTGTAGAAATCTATTCAGTAGTTTTTGCATAATCCTGCTCACAAACACACAAACGGACTCGGGCGACACAAAAACCGATGCTGCCCTTATCCTCAATGCTAATTTCAACATTGATATCAATGAAGAGGTGGTGTCAGGGTTAATTCGGACACATGTGACTCCTTCACTTCACAGGAAGCAGGAAGACATGAATGAGTAGTAAACAGTAGGGCAGCTGTGTGTTCACAGATAAACACTAGCACCATCATGAAAACATCAGCACGCAACATAAAGTGTGACTGAGGCTCATGGGAAGTCAGAGTGATGAAGATTTATGGGATCACTGAGTTTATTCCAGGTCATCTTGAGGGAGAGTGTGTTAGTGATCAGCAGGGAGGGAGAGAAATGGCCGATGTGTCCGTCTTTGCCACCTTAAGCTGAGTTAAAGTGAAAATTCAGAATCCCATCTTTGGATAAGTTTGTTTAAGTGGTGAGACGACCACTGAATAATGTACGACTGAGCAGAACCTACACTCAGCTCTAACCACTCATCACTTAGTGCATCTGAAATCAGAAACAGTAATAAACTCCACCAGGGACTCGCTCACCTCGCTCGTCTTCTCCTCAGCATCAACACTGAGGAAGTTTCCTCTGAGCTGCCACAACGAAATGATTGATTTTAGTTTTCATGTGCAGAGATTTCAAAAGTTATTCCTCCTGTGGTGGAAGTAAAAAGGCAGTGAGATCAAACTGAGCATATTTCGTCTGAAGGGCGGAGGTGTGCTGATTTAAACCTGCTCTACACACACGTCCTCTTTGTACTTCTGACGCACTCATGTTGGAATAAGTGAAAAAATTAGATCCGAACAGAGAAAGTTAACTTGAACGACTCCTCTGGTCGGAAAAATAAGTGCGAAAGGAAATTAAAATTTTGGTACACAGATTTCTGACATCGCCACTTTTAAACCAATTATCACATCATTTTGCAATCAGCAAAAATGAAAAGTGTCAAAAGTTACACGTTTGTCTTTACACCATACCCAACACTACGGTGGCCCTGAAGGGCAAATCACAGTGTCGAGTGGGAAAACATAAAAACAACGTTAACCTCTGATGAAACAGGGCGGCACCTGCTGTCAGTGAGGATAGTCGCTGATCGGACATAACACTCTGCGTGTTTTTAACAGGAAGGAAAAATGCATTACGCCTTTGGTGCCGGTAAAACAACATGGGAACAAGAGGGGATTAAAAACAGACATCAGGTTCTGCCCTTTCCTGTTAGAACCTAACGTTGTTTTGTTTTGTGGTTTGTCCTGATTTTCACCTCAGGGCCACCGTACAATCCTGACTTCTACGATGAAGATGCAGAAGTTAATATGCCTCTCACACCTTTTCTTTTTCCAGAGTTATTGTACAAATATTGGAACGTTGTGTCAAAGTGTCGTCAAACACGTCGAAGTCAGAACAACAACTTCACAGCTCAGGAAATGGAACTTTCTGAGGAGCGTGTGAATGCACCACGTGTTTAAGTCCTTGTTGCAGGCAGTTGTTGCTGTGATACCATTTCTGTTGTGACAAAGAGCAAACAACTTTTACCGTGAGACGATGAGTCTGCTGCAAACATGTCAGAGGAACTGGATTGGGCATTTTATTTAAAAAAAAAAGGTAGAAAAAGTTCATTTGAGCCACTTCAGCTCAGCAAATGTTTATATTTCTGAATAACAAATTGCTTTATAATCCTGAATTAAAGCATCAGTAAGAAATAATATGAGGGAGACAGGCGGTGAGCACATTCAATATGAGCTATGAATTCATACAAAGGCTCTTCAGGTTCTGTGTGATTATTGCAAAGAGGACGACTTCCTTCCTTTGTTCCACTTGGCTCTGGATGTTTGTTTTCGGGCTGCAGACTGAAGAGTAAACTCTGTGAATCATCCTCCAGTACTCCAGGAATTCTCTCAGTTTCTATGTGAATAACACAAAATAGTTTTTTAATTCTCGCCCGGAGTGACGCGTTTGACACAAAGAAACAAGAAGAGCTGAACTCAGACCAAACTCTACTGAACTTTGGATAAATCTCTGCACCGTTGCTGAAGATTTCATTGATAAATTATCCACAATCTTTCCCGAAGAGTTGCCTCCTGTAAACATGTTAAAGCCGTAAGAATAATGATGATACGCACAATCGCTGTGCAATGTGGAAATACACTGAAGAAACAGAAACACATCATTTATAACCACAGAAAACTCTTCATACCACATGGTCATTTGACAGAGTGAGTCTGTATTGCGTTATTGTTTACGTGCGTCATGGCCTGAACTTTGTCTGTATATGATTATTTAAGGAAACTGGACATTTTGCCTCTGTGGTCTGTGTGGAACTCGATGTGCAGAACGCAGAACACCAAACACTTAGTGAAGAGCACAAAGTATTTATTGAGAAAACCAAGAAGATAATAATGACAATGCACAGAGAGAGAGTAACAAACCAAAACAAGCAGAGTTCAGGCACAACAAGCCTTTTCTCTGCGCCAGTGTTGCACAACAACAACAACAAGAACAACTAAAACAACAACACCCGCTGGTGTAAAATCTCACAATAAACTGTTAATGTTTATTTTACACTTTTAGGTGAAGAAAAACATGTTGAATAACCAACTTTAAATGTAGAAATAAACTTGTGAGCGTCAGTTTGTGCTGTTATTGTTTACATTTGTAAGACGAGGTGGGATGTTCCTGCCGCCCTCTCTCCTCTCGTCTCTCCACTGCAAGCACAAAGCATGATGGTATCTGTTGCTCGATTAGTCCATCTGTTTTACACTACTTTTACGATGCATTGTGGGAAACAATGAGTGCACTATGCAGGGTATGGAAAATGTACATTCCAAAATGGCGAGCTCTCTATATGGTGGCCTTTATAGTGATTAGAGGAGGAGCAGAGGGGCAGTAGAGGGTTCCACAAAAATAGACCTCAGTGTCTTCAACAATTTAAAAACAAGCGGCCGACTTCTCTGTATCAAAAAACACATTTTCTCCTGCTGCTAATCTGCATCAACTAAATCTCATGGCAAGTAAATTCAGATGAAATGGTTGCACGTTCTCGTCAGTTTCACTGGAATGTGAGCGTCCTCCCACCGTGATCCATGTCGATATGTGATGTGACACACAGCATGACGGCTTGTTTTCTCCTGCTGACTCAGATAATTGAAAGTGAATTGCTGATTTTTTAAAAGCTCACCACCTGCAGCGACAATAATTTATATTCTCTGTATTCCCACTGACCATGTGACCTTCCTTTTTGATGAAA